TATTATTTTTTAGACTCATTAATTTATCTTTGTGTATGGCTTTCTTGTTTTGTGCTAAATTATAATTGTTTATTTATTTCAGGTTTGGACCTAATAAATTACTGACCAATGTGTCTATAGTTCCTATACAGGTGCTGGTTATTCAACACACTGCTGATCACTGGCAGAGTTACAGAACCAGTACAACTTACACAACACTCCTGGCATCTTACACAGACACAATCTAATTTAGGGACAAATCTGGTTTTGTCTAGACTTAAAATTGACACCCCCTACAATCTGACGAGGGGAAAAACTTCAAAACTTTGTTTTCTTCCCAGGTAAAGACTCATCTGCAGGCTCAGACTGTCAGTGCCATAGCAGTGGGTCACCAGCACAACCATCTGGTAAGACTTGAAGAACAAAATGTCTTCTGCAAGCGACATATTCTTTTAACAGTTTGGTTGCATCTATAAAGATAACAAACCTCATAAAAACACTTACCGGGACTTTATGATGTTTTTATTACTTCCAAGTTCCAACAATTCTTATTTCTGATACTTTTTTTCAGCTTCACTTACAACCAAAACGACGCAAACATTTAAAAATCTATAAATGTATAACAATCCTTGTTTCAATGCATATTTTAAAACGCTGCACATTTTTGTGACACGCAGAGACCAACTTTTATTTAAAAGTTACATTTTGTTTTCGTTCGTACTGTGAAAAGACGTCTCACCTCTTCCTCGTTTCATCTCACTATGCATCAAGAATGTCGTAAAAAAAAAAATTTGATTGCAGAAAACCTGGTTTAGCAGGCTTGTTGGTGCGGTATGTGCAGAGGGTGGAGTGACATCAGAAAAGGCATTACTTGGAACAGACCATAAGATGGAAACATAAAGTGTGCTTGCTTTGTTCAGGATCCTTCAGAGCTGTGCAGCTTCGTCATACCGTGTGCACTGAACACTGCAGTTTTATTGAAATCCCCTTTTTTATCACTTTCATTGGGCAAAGAACTGCAAAATATTCACACATTTGTTTCACTTCACCACTGAAAGCAGACTTTCTTTCTTTTAAAGTGATCTTGATCAGTTTTTCTCCAGGCTTTCCGAAGAGCTTCTTTTTCTTTGGACTTTGTCCTTTTTACTGTTTCAGTCTAGAAACTGAGCGTTTTCAGAGGACTTTGTTTGTTCATTTGTTTGGTTAACGCATAACTCTGGGGTATGAATCATGCAGGCATGAGAAGACCTCAAAAACGCTCGATGAACCAGTGCTGTGTCGACACATAACACACAACTAAAACAAGAAGCCTGTAGGCACCTTGTTACAGCAGCTTGTCACGAAGATGCATTTTGTTCCTATTTCTTAAGAAATACCAAAGATAGTTCAATTAATGAGGAACAAAGCATCTCTCAAGTCCTGCATTAGGTTTAAAGACCTGGCTTTCAAATTCTGTTCCTCTGCTAGGGACAGAATTTGACACTTTTTCTTTTGTCCTCCACTTTCCCTAAATTGTCCTGCACTTGTGCACTTTCCCTAAATTGTAAAGCACACACCGCAAATATAGCTGTCATGATCAGGTCTACGAACTAAATAGAAAATGAGAGAAAAGCAGCTAAAGTGTGGGGGAAAAGAAAAACAAAGAAAAACTTTGAAAACCCTGATATTTTGATTAAGACCACTTTAGAAGAAGAGCGCTGTCTTCTTGTATGTGGAGGGTGGAATGTGACAAAAATAAATACATAATTTAATTATGATGCATTTATTTATTTGTGTTATATGTCACGTTCCATCGCCCATACTTTGAAGCAAAATGTAAAGAAATTACAGTAGTCCCTCGTTTATCGCGGGGGATCCATACCCTGAAGCCCCACAACAAATGAAAAAACGCGAAGTAGGAATAGTAGTACAAGTAGAAACCCTTCCCACATTCTTGCAATATTCTAATCTAAACAATGAAACTCTAAACGCTCTAAAAGAGCAAAGAATGTCATGTTTTTAGCTCTCTGCTTCTGGCTGTACTCCTGGCCACGCCCAGCTCTGCAGAGATTAGCTGATCAGCTGCAGGAGGAAGCTTCTCCCACAGCTTTGGGCTGCACACAGGTGCTAAATCATTTAAAATAATTTATTTTAAATAAAAAAATCCATGCCAATCGTGCGGCTCATCCATCAGTCAGCCATTGTGTGTCTTGTCCAATCTTACTTTGAAAAACCCGGATAGAGCGAGTCCGCGATAAACGAACCGCGAAGTAGCGAGGGACTACTGTAGTTTGGTTTGAAGTCGTACCACAGTCGGCCATACTGGCTGTTGTATTTGTAAAACTTTAAAGACTGAAGAACGTGAAAACATGCAGAAACTTAAGGCTACCTGCTGCTTTTGTCATCACAGGGGGTGTCTGATGCCTTTGTCAGCATCTACAGAAGAGACGGTCTCAGTGGTCTTTGGAGGGGGGTGAACGGTGCCGTGCCTCGGGTCATGGTGGGATCAGCTGTTCAACTGGCAACCTTTACCTCCGCTAAGCAATGGGTGTCTCACTCTCAGGTGGATGCAATAAACATAACTCCCCAGCTGCCATCTGCCAGCAGATAATCACCAGGGTCTCTCTGTCTGCAGGGGTTTAGTTCAAACAGGTGGCTCGCAGCTTTAATAGCTGCCTCCATTAGTGGAGTTGCTGTGGCCATCACCATGACGCCGTTTGATGTCATCAGCACTCGGCTCTATAACCAGCCAGTGGATGAGTTTCGCAGGGTGAGTTTAAATATATCTTACAAATAAATGAAAAATAAAAAAGGTGAACCTCATAATGCAGAAGATGTTTGTAAGTTAAACACATTCTGAGAGCAGATATGTTGTCTTGGTCTGCTTTGCAGGGGCGCCTGTATCGAGGATTTTTAGACTGCATGCTGAAAGTGTGCCAAGCTGAGGGTCCGCTGGGTTTATATAAAGGCATGGGCCCCGTGTTCCTGCGACTGGCCCCTCACACAGTGCTCAGCATGCTGTTCTGGGACCTGATGAGGCAACGGGCAGTCAAAGACTGCTAGAGCCTGCAAAATGTGTGCCTGAAAGGGATCCTCTGATAGGTGAACTTGAATTTGAGGAAAAAGAGCTGGACATTTCTGAAAATCTTTTTTTTTTTTTTTTTTTTACTTGATGATGATTAAATATGAGCAGTGGTACTATTTTTTTTTTTTTTTTATATATGTGTGTGATATAGAGTCGGCAGCTGGTTTGCTCTTGTTGTATTTAATTATGTAACACCTCCCTGGCTGCAACCAGTAAGATGTTCCTGTCTAAAGTTTCTCTGCCCTGAACCAAAACTTGATCCAGCACCTCTGAAATGATGAGTCCATTTTAATTACACACATTAGAAAAAATTAAACAAATGCAACATAATCAGGTCTCTCTTGTAAATGAGTCCTCGAGGCTCAATGGGATTTACCTGTCTAAATAAAGGTTGAATGAAAAAAACACAACTATTAAAAATAAATAAATAAATACTGTAATTTTCGCTGTATAAATCTTTTTTTTGTTGTTGTTGCATAAATTAGCATGCCTGCAACTTGTACAGCAAAGTGACATATTTGTGTTTTTTTCTCACCATATTTATAACCCAATTTTTGGCTGAGATCTGATGATTTCATTCATTCTGACATGGAAAATATTGAACACTATCATTTTCAGCTGCTAGAGAGCCCTCGATTAAAATGGCAAGCCAAGTTTCTCATTAATTGGTAAAAGTGGCTAATAATGAGACACTTGGCTTGCCATACAAGCCACCTATGTCTCGCTCCGGTGTACTGGAGCAAATGTCAAATCGGCTGCATTTCGCCACGCCGCCGAGGTGAAATGCAGCTGATTTGATTGTTAAAGTGTATTTATTAAGGAAAAGTTCAACTGAGACACACCTGTGCTATAATGTCGAGCAAACAAATAATTGTTTTTAAGGGTTAATCTTGTTAAATTCTTGTTGAAGTCCTCCCGTGCACGCTTCCGTGGCCGCCAATCGATTTTTGCCACAACACCGGCCCTCATTTCCGGTTGTCAGCGATGACACATAATAGATGAGACTTACACAGCAAAGCGATGCATTTATGTTTTTTTCCACTTTATTATATATTTTTGGACTGATGCGACTTATACGGCGGCAAGTACGGTAACTCTGGAAGTGCTGGCAGCAAAACATTGATCACAATTTGACACAACCAAGATATGCTCCTTTATTTCAAGTCTCAAAGCTAATTTCTGTTTTACAAATCTGAGTGATTTTTGCAGTGTCTTATGTGACTTTTTTTTTAGGAAAGAAAAAGTAAAATGTTTGCTTTTCGATGAGACTTGTTTTGAAGCACTGAGGACTGATGAAGTAAACTTTTTCTTTTTTCGACATGTTGCATTCCTGTTTTAGATGCATTTCACTTAAATCTTTGAAATGTATGATGTTGTAGATGAAGTTTCATATAATGAATGACAAAGCAGAGTTGTCAACAAAGTGTTGGAAGGTGGAGGAACAAGTTTGAATGACTCAACTGCTTTTCATTTTTAGAATCAGGAAACGCTGCTGTGCTTGTCAAGCTTTACTGTATAAACCTACCTGCCTTCTCATTTACACGTAAGGAGAATTTCAACACGTGTTAAAAGCCTGCTTCTGAGATTCCAACAGGAGGTTGGCTTGAAACACAGCAATGAACTGCTGCTTATGGGACAGATCTGATTGGCAGGTCGCAGACTGATGAAGTCTTCTGGATGGAAGATGAAACGTTTCTTCCTTAAAGAAACTGGTCCAGATGAAATAATTAAACTTTTTTGTTGTTGTTGAGAAAATCAACAGTTTGACTATATAAAGCACATGCAAATGAAATGCCATTTGATTTGAGGCCTTTATTACAGCCGGTTGACATTCAGGCCTATTAACTCCAGTAAATACTGGTAATCACAATAGACATGTATAATTTTTATTTTAATAAAAGCCTTTTTTTTATTGGAGTTCTCTCGCCTAATTTTTTTTTTTTTTTTTGGAATAAACTCAAAAACACAGCTGGATATTGAAATCTGATCATTTTTCTATTGTAAACAAAACTTAAATGAAAAGTCCATGAAGATATCAAAAGCACTGATAAAACATAAAATACAAAAATTTATTTTTAAACTTCACTCTTATTGTGAGGCTTTATTTTAATCCTTAATAAAGGAGTATAATTGATTTTGATCATCTTTTTGAGAGGACTTTCAGCCTCTTTTATTGGAAAATGATTAAAGTGACAACTGGAGCTCAATTAGTTTAACCTTTGAACCCGTACAAGCTTGGATCAATAAGACCAAAACTACAAACATCACTTCTTTACCAAAGGTCTTTAACAAAGGACTGAACACGGAGTGAGGTTTAGTGAGCCCATGAGCAGAAAATCACAAAACATAATTAGATTTTGCTGTAAATTACGAGGAAACAATGCTATTTTTCCCATTTTCTTGGATCCTGGACCTTTTCCAGTGGACACCGTTTGATTTAAACCCTGTGGACAGTTTTTGTCAGGGTCAGTTTACATGTTTTCACTTATTTTAACAAACTTTATTTATTGTCCTTCAGTATAGCTCAGTTTCTTTACATGTATTGTCATGTTGTTGTTTGTGTTCAAAGGCCTTATAGGTGCTTGTGGAATATCTGTACTGTACAATCTGATGAGAGTTTACAACTTTATTCAAGCATGCAGGTGAGATTATCCTTGAAAAAGAAAGTGTGGATTTCAGATGATGACTTTCAGAGGCCGTGGGGTTTTTCTTGATGCATTAGTTTTCTGTACGCAGTGATTCTCATAGTGAGCATGGAAGTAAACGGAGGCCATCCTTAAACAGAAATCCTCTGAGAAAGAACTGGAGAGCGTCTCTTCAGTTCTGGTCCCTCACCGTCCTCCTGTCTCTGGTGGGGTTGAGGGCTGCCTCGCTCATCGTACTGGAGTTTTTGCTCAGAGCTGTTTCTGCGTGGACTTCAACAGAGACGGTGAGCTCATCGGTGAGAACATCTCAAATATCACTTATGGTTACTTACTTTTTGGCTCATAAATGCTTCTGTGTGTGAATTCAGGGTGCCACTAGAGGTGTAGACTTCCTTCTAATCCAGAGCCAGTTTTCCCTGGGCTGCAGCCTCACCTGTACTCTGGCCTTCCTCCATCAGGGGGCTCCACACAGCTCCTTCAGTTTGATTCTGGCTGCTGCTCTCAGCTGGGCACTGGCCAGCTACAGCAGCAGGCTGTGGACCCATGTGGCCACACTCTACCCACTACACAGCACAGAGCACTGCTGTGGGAAATGCATGAGCCTGTTAACCACTGGACACACCATACTGGCTTCACTGCAAAGACTGGTTATCTTGACCTTTGCTGTAGGATCTTTTGCAGGCGTCGCCACAGTTTCTGAGCACTTCCTGTCTCACAAGGATGCTATAAAGTTCTGGACTCCTCTAACACTCTGCTACACTATGCTGGTGGTTTATATTCAAGGTGATAATCAAAGCAGCTGCAGGACCGTGTTTTTTATTTTATTTATTTTATTTTTTAGCCCCTCTGTAATCCCAGGTCCTTGCAAAACAAACCTCAACACAAGAAAAAGCAACATACAGGTGACATAAAGACACGCATGTGGACAGGGTGAGGGTCCCAGCATGGGTCGCCCAAGTGAGCGGCATATACATATATATATATATATATATATATATATACGCACTTTGGGGCTTGATTTTTACAGATTAAGAAGTACATTTTCAATCAAGATGAAAAGGATTTAACCACTACAGCCTAAATAATATATAGTTAATGGTTCTTAAAATTGTAACCAGAATTGGTTGTTTAAAAACATGGAATTAAAATTAAAACATTTAAAAATTTTAAATTAACAGATAAACCAATTAAGTAAAGTTCACAAAATCTAACTATTAGTTAACAATATTACTAGTTGGAAGTTGGTTACCAGTGTTAATACTGACAGTTTGCTCATTGTGTCGTCAGTGTTTTACATTTTAATATTTTGGATCAGTTTTTTTTTGTTTACAGTACATAGTTTGAAAATAAGCTATAAGTTTGGTTGGTAAAATAAGTTTTATGGTGCAGTGAAAACAGTGACATGCTAAAAGATTTATAGTATTTACTGTATGTTCAAGCACTGCATTTATTTAGTCCTATAAACAAACTGGATTTAATAAGAATAAAAGAAGGTTTTTTTAAACCCACATGCTTCTTTTTTTATTTACAGAGGAACAACAGCGGCTGACGGACTCAGAGACCCTCCTGCGTACTGTAATGCTGCGACTGGGAGGCTTACTGGTGCTCATGCTGCTTTTGGGAAACTGGTCTGATGTTTTTCACATCCTCATATCTTTTCTGGGAGAGGGAGCTTGTCTGCTGCCCTCTCAGGATCTGCTACAGGCTGCTTTAAAGGCACGATCAAAATGCGTTATGGGATTTTTACTGCATTTCATAGTTATTTGTTGAATTTGTAAGTGATTTTTACAATATGTTATTGATTCTGTTCTAGGAAGAAAAAGAGACCAGCTTGAGCCAAAGTGAAAAGACGTCCAACCTCAACACGAGGACAACAAGAACATCATCCTATGACGGTCAAATGTCCACTTCAAAAGCCAACGACTTCCCTAAGCCAAGAAGAGTCAATGCACAGAATGATAAAATATTTTGTGTGAATAAGTTTAAAAGTGTAAAGTGAATATTTTATGTTGCAAAACCTCGAGTAACAGGGTGTGAATTTGGTGAGCTGAGCAGTTTAAAGATGTAAAAAAAAAACATTGAATGAAGCACTCTCCACGGTATTCAAGAATTAAAAAAAAATGGATAAAAACAAGTAACCACTAAGGTCAAGGTCAAGTTTTTTTTTATTGTCATTTGCATCTCATGTGGTACATGTGGTGGAACGAAAGTGTGTGCACAGGGTCCCAGTTACATCCAACAAAAGTATAAATTGTAAAGAAAAACAGCAATAAAATCTAAGATATGAACTAAGAAATACACTAAACTAAGAATACACTAAGTAGTAGTACAACAACAATATGCCAAACAACGGCAGCACGAACATGAGTCTGTGTGAGCAGATGAGTACGAATGAATATGGCAGCATGAAATAAATCAGCAGCATGAGATCATCAGCATGGATAATCAGCAGCACATATCAACAAATGGAATTACAGTGATTTGTTTCACAGTGGTTCTGGTTAGAGATTCATGAGTCCAACAGCTTCAGGGTAGAAGCTGTTCCTCAGTCTGGTGGTTCTAAACTTAATGCTCCTCAACCTCCTGCCTGAGGGGAGCGGTGCAAAAAGTGTGTGCTGGGTAAGTGTGGTCCTTCATGATGCAAGTGGCCCTCTTCCTGCATCTGGAGGTGTCGATGTCTGTGATGGTGGGGAGGCTGACTCCAACTAAACCTTAACAATTTGTTTATGCTATTTTGATCAAGTTTTAGGTATTTTACAGCAGTATTTAGTAAAGAAAATCAAGCAGTCACTGATTATTATTATTAGGCTACTGTTTGCACAGCATACGTGTCATTTAACTTAGTTTTTTGAATAAAGCTTCTTGATATTTATGATTTTAGGCACATTTCTTAGATGGTTGTCACAAAAACCACAAGAAGTATATTGATTGTGATTGTAAGTTACCAATTAAAGAGGCTCCACTAATTTTACTCATTAGCATGAGTTCAATTGTGAAGGACATATTTCATTTGTCTATATTTAACCAAGAAAGGTTTCACTGAGCAACACCATTTAGTCTGTCTCGAGAAGATTCAACTCTCCGTTTATTGTTGTTCAAGTCCAGTCAGATCACCCAGAATGGATGTTGGGACCAGGTATGAAAAGGGCCCAAAATTCAAGTACTTTTAATCCATGGAGTCATGTTCAAGATGCTACGATTTAAAAAGAAAGAGAGAAAGAGAAAACAGCTTTATTACAAAGTAAAGGAAAAAAAGATGTTCCATAAAAAATGGAGTAAACAGAAAAACAGTGGAGTAATATATCACACTGGTTAGATTCTGCACGAGTTTCAAACTGGAGAACTTAAAAGCCAAGTCATTCAATCCTAAAACAATTAATGGAGATGGTGAACAACAAACACTCGTCAGCATTTAATCGAAAGGAACGAAGGAGCGTTTACAGTAGTGATGACAGAGAACCAAACGCAAAACTTCCTCAGACCCAAGGAAGACATAAAAATGTTCAGAAAGTGTAGATCCACTTCAGTTATTTATCTTAAAAAGATAGAAAAAAAAGACATAGGGGGGAAACTTCAGAAAAACATGAACAACAAATAAAATTTAAAAAAAACAAGACATCCCCCCAAAAAACATTAAAAACTGAATAGAATAGATTTTAAATGAAAACTAAAGCAACTAACTATAAAAATCATGTTAAACTAAATGGGACAAATGCAATATGTTGGGTTTTTTTTATAACAAATCAAAACAAGAAATAAAACAAAACTGAACTATTTTTTTATTAAGAAAAACTGTTCAAAATTGACATGGACAAAAAAATACGTCTGTGCTTGAATATGTGTTTGTCCGTTAGCAAAATATCTCATGAACTACTGGAAGAGATTTGAACAGAACTCAAAGGAAACCATTGGATAAGCGTCTAAACTAACTCCTAATTCAAGATGGCTGCCACAGCTAGGTAACCTTAGCAAGCACAGAAATGGCTCTAACTATAGAAGATTTGGTGTGGTAGTAGCTGAGAGTCATCTATCATCTATACTTTGAGTGTTGTTTAAATGTTTGTCATGAACTATTAGAGTCAACTCTTTCTGTTAGCAAAATATTGCATGAACCACAGGGAAAACTAATTAAACTTTCAGAAATTAAACACTGAATGTCCATCTACTACTGATATTAAAGTTTATCCAAATTAAGATGGCCGCCACAGTCAACCAACCTTGGCTACAATCGTGTAGTCTGAGTTAGGCGACTGGAGTCCCAGCATTTTGATTTTGCAAAGAAAAGATAAACTGCATGTTTTGAAATACAGCAAATCTTCATAGAATGATATGAATGTGAGGTAACTTTTGATTTTTATCTAGATAAAGAAAATTGTTGGAGCTACCAATACTTTTATTATCGAATCAAAAACAGATTATTTGCAGGCATTAACTATTTTTGAAAAAATAAACTTCTACTTAGCAAAAGCATTCAAGCAGAAAAGATTTTAGGCAGTTACATACTTCATCCTTCTCGTTTAGTTCCTCTAAATTTCTCATCTTTTGTGTTTTCTTTTTCTACCAAAGCAACTGAACATTAAAGTCAAACCTCAAACTGTGCTGTTGGTGAAAGAAGTGAAAAGTCATGTGGCACTGCAGAGGTTCACAGGGTTTAATGAGAATTTTGGCTTTTAGGGTGGGTGGGTGGGTGGGGGGGTTGAAGTGTGGTGGTCCTGGGATTGTATCATTCGTGGGCATGCTCCTTCCTGCAGCCGTGACATCACCGCAGCATTCCTTTCCACAGAGCTGGAACAACAGAGACCCCCATCACTCCTCGTCTCCTGTTAACCCTCTCTGCTCCCGTTGCTCCAACCTCATCTGACTTCTGAAGGAGTGCAGAACGTTGCTCCAAGCACAACAAAGCAACTTTTCAGAGCTCTCACAGACATCACGCCCCGTACGATCCCCTCTTTCACAAATCCCATATTGGATTTCACCGTGAAGCTGCTCCTGGACGTCTGATCACCAGAACTCCGCCGGAGGAGGCCGAGAGGTCCACTGTAACCACACTGAGCGTTCTCGTCTGTGGGGGCCCAAATGGAGCTAATGCCACAAGATTACTGATAGTGAGTCAAGGCTAAAGTGATATAATGTGGGGGAAGGGAAGAAGGAAAGAGGGAGAAGAAAAAAGGAGGCAGACCCAGCGAGGGAGGTATAGGGAAAGTAAAGGTTTGCAGAACAATGCACTGCACAAAAAATGAACGTTTTGAGGTCGGCGCGTGGAGAGGCAGGTACAGTCACATCCTGCAGGCATGCATAACAATAAAGAGGTGTCTCTGCTTGTCCACGTCAAGGTGAAAACCTTTCTGACTGTAAACTCTGTCAAAAAATTACCAACTCTGTTCCTTTGGCCTGACTGCACAGCTTTGTTGCACAACTCAACGTGGGTGTGAGTCTGTGTGCGTACGTGTAGGTGCATGCGCATTCCCACGATTGCCAAGTTTTCATAGTGGATGAATGTGTCATGATGTGTTTTTTTTTTTTTTTTACTGCACTTTGCCAGAGATTAGCTGTTCACTTTTTATGGTCGGGAGGGAGGCTGGATTGTCATTCAGCCAGAGAAGAAGGAGGGGTGTGTGGACTGGAGAGCTGAGGGAGGGGAGATAGAGGAGGAAAAGGAGTGGCTTTGCTGCAGATAGTCGCCCCTCTCCACCGGAGTAAAGTCTTCTCTCAGAAGGAAGAAGAAAGAAGAGAGAGGAGACACTTTTTTTTTTTGTTCCAGGTATGTAGGAGCAGCTCATACAGGGTGAGAGGGGCTTTAAAGGAAACAAGTTCTTAAGAGTTGTGCCTTTTTAAATCTTAAACCATTCATTGAGTTAGAAGTATGACATACTTAGAGGAGTGCCACTAAGATGATCTTGATGAAATCTATGACTCAGCTTCTAGAGTTGAGCCATAAACATTGTTCTGTGTTTGTGTTCAAAGGGTTCGTACAATCATGGCAACGGCAGCTTCACCGAAAAGGATGGTGTCCTCCGTCTTCATCACTCTGGCTTCTCCTCATCGAGCCACTGTGACCAAGCAGCAACCTGCCCTCCAGGCCAACAGCGCCTCTGCTAGAGACAAGAGAGTCAGCCAAGGTGACAGCGTACCTGTTCACAGACCCAAACAGGACCAGTTTTTTGACAACCATAGCACTGTAAACAGCAAGAACTGGACTCATGGAACCCGAGCGTCAGATCCTCAGAGCCCAAAACTCGTCCAAACTGGATCCACCAAAGCAAAGCTGCAAGAAGATCAGAAACAGTGGAGCGCTCCGGGTATTTATAACCAAAACGGTTTCTGAATGTGCACTAGATGTAAAGAAACCTTCTGTCATTGCAGTCCAGCTGGCTTTCATCTCACCCTCCTGGTTGGGGCCATGTGTGTTGTCATTTCCAGCTCGTTTACAGTCAAACTAGATCTGATTCTTTGTCTGACCTTTGTTAGACTTGTGTAGATGTTGCTAATTTAGTTTTTGAAAACACTTTTCCCTGTGGCTGCAGGGGGAGCTGTGTGCAGTCAGATATCAGCTGATGTTTTGAGTGATGATGGTTCAAGCAGAAAGTTGGAGGAAAAAAAAGATGAAAATGGTTTGAGATTAGAAAGAAGAGAGCTTATTTCTATTGAGAATAGCAGCATTGGGCTGTATTAAGAGCACAGCACTCACCAGGACCAGTAAAAAAAAGAATATTACTCTGAATCTGCTGCTTCACAGGTCAAGCTTTAACTTGTCAGGACCAACTGGTAGGAAACTTAAAGGTTGAAAGTGGAGTTTTGTTTTTTTAATTGTCATCTTTTAAGAATCATGCAAAGAAACAATGCATTTAGTTTGACTGTATCTAAAGAAACTTGTGCAAAAAGGACACAATTGTAATAATGTATCCTCTATGTTTTGTAATTTTTATGTGATGTTTATTCTTAGCTCTAATTTGCTATTCGGTACATTTTTGTTACTCTTTTCTTTGTAAAATATAGCAGATACACATGTAATACACAGTATTTATGTACATTCACTGTTGTTATTATTGCTCTCAGCCTCAACTTGAAGATATTTCTGCGTTGACTGAAAGCACATGATTTTTTTTTCTTCTTCCAAACAGAGCTCGTCCCTCCTCCTGATGTACCTCCTTCATTTCTGAAAGGGACATTCTCTGAAGAAATGTCACTCCCACCACCTCCTTCATCACTCCAACAGCTGAGCCCAGATCAGCATCCAGTTAGCAACAAAAAGGTCTGCAAACTTTACTTCTAAGTCACTTTAACATAATAAATCAATGCATGCACAGCATTATTTACTGTTTTCTATCATTTATAACAACTCTCTTCAGTGCATTTTCAGTAAACCACAAATCTTTGGTAAACTCTCGAGAAAATTAAGGGGAAATTGTTCCCTATTAGAATTTTATTTTTTTATTTCTTGCAAACAGAGCACATTTCAAACATTTGCTGTAAAAAATAAGAAACGTTCCCTCAAAGTCTCATCGCAACACAGTTCAACTAAATATACCAAAATAGGGTTAAGCTGAAACAGGAAGTCTATTTTTATCACTGTTCTGCATCCTTTTTCTATTGTTTCTGCAGTTTTATACTTCATAGTTTTTTTTTCTGCCCAGTTATGAATCACTTTACCAACTTTCTTCTATCCAAAGCCCATGACATTCCTGATGAAAAGTAATTTTTTAAATAATTTGATCAACATTTTTAGATCAAAACTGAAATTGTTCAGTTAAAACAAACTCAAATATGTGAAGGTCTTGCTTTAGCTATTTTTGTTTGTTTCATTCACATCTCCTTTCAAAGAGAAACTGCAACGTGTATGGATTTTTAAGATTTTACCATCTAACAAATAAAAATGCATGTTTTTAAAAAAGATAAGACATGTAGTAGCTCATAATAAAACTGCACGAGAAGAGATTTGACCTTGTTATGAACGAGTCTAGTCAAGTATTTGTTGAAAATAACAGCTTTTTTTTTTGCTTTCTAGCATTAAACACGGCCGCTTCAATCAAAATTGATTATCTTTTTGTCTTACATATGCACTTCATCTTAAAGGTGGAAACATGCACACCGTCTAATGGTTCAACCCGAGGGGAAGAAGTTTCTGGGATTCACAAAAACGGCCAAGACGCACAAACACAGAGCAAAGGTATCGGCTTCTCTATCCATCCTGTTTAATCCTGATGAAATAATAACCTGAGTGAACATTTGACGTCTGTGTATTTGCAGATGTGTGCGGCTTTTGTCGGAAAACTGTGGCTCTTTCTGAACCTGCCATAGAGGCCTTAAACAGGACTTACCACGAAGGCTGCTTCCAGTGCAGATCTTGTCACATCCCGTTGGCTGGGAAACAGTACTACAAGAAGGCAGGAATCCCACTTTGTGAAAGCTGCTATCAGGTAGATCGGAGTCAAAACACACACACTGCACTCCAATAATAAGTCTAGAAACACAGAAAACATTGGAAAGGAACAAATCCACAATTTTTAACGTTCAGGCTGCTGACGAGTTTTCCACCTCTTATCAGGAATTGCCTTAATCAAGAGTAAATCTCAATTTTGAACACTTACCACAGTCATAAAGTATTCACAGAGCTCCACTTTTACCACATTTTGTTATGTTACAGCCTTAGTCCAAATTGTATTAAATTCATCTCTTTCCTCAAGATTCTTCACACAATAATACCCCATTATGACAATGTGCAAAAAGATATTTCAAGATTTTTGCAAACTTATTAAAAATAGAAAACCAAGGAATCACATTTATGTAAATATTCACAGCCTTTGCCATGAAGCTCTAAATTGAGCTCAGATGCATTCTGTTTCCACTGGTCATCCTTGAGATGTTTCTACAACTTTAATGAGTCCACCTGTGGTAAATTCAGTTGATTGGACTCAATTTGAAAAGACACACACTTGTCTATAAGGTCCCACAGCTGACAGTGCACCGCAGAGCACAAACACCAAGCATGAAGTCAAAAGAATTGTCTGTAGACCTCTGAGACAGGATTGTGTTGAGGCTCAAATCTGGGGAAAGGACATAGAAAAATTTCTGCTGCTTTGAAAGTCCCAGTGAGCCCAGTGACCTCCATCACTTGTAAATGAAAGACGTTTGGAACCACCAGGACTCTTCCTAGAGCTGTCCGGCCGTCTAAACTGAGTGATCAGGGGAGAAGGGCCTTAGTCAGGGAGGTGACCAAGAACCTGATGGTCACTCTGTCAGAGCTCTAGTGCTTTTCTGTGGAGAGAGGAGAACCTTCCAGATGGACAGCCATCGTGGCAGCAATCCACCAATCAGGTCTGTATGGTAGAGTGGCCAAACAAAAGCCACTCCTTTATAAAAGGCACATGGCAGCCTGAGTTTACCAAAAGGCACCTGAAGGACTCTGACCATGAGAAATACAATTCACTGGTCTGATGAGACAAAGATTGAACTCTTTGGTGTGAATGCCAGGCATCATGTTTGGAGGAAACCAAGCTCATCACCAGGAAAATACCATACAGTGAAGCATGGTGGTGGCAGCATGATGCTATGGAGATGTTTTCCAGCAGCAGGAACTGGCAGACTAGTCAGGATAGAGGGAAAGATGAATGCAGCAATGTACAGAGACATCCTGGATGAAAACCTGCTCCAGAGTATTCTTGACCTCAGACTAGGATGACGGATCATTTTTCAGCAGGGCAATGACCCCAAAGCACATGGCCTAGACTCTCAAAGGAGTGGCTTCAGGACCACTCTGTGAATGTCCTGGAGTGTTCAAGCCAGAGTCCAGACTTGAATCTGATTGAGCATCTCTGGAGATATCTGAAAATGGCTACACATTGTTTCCCATCCAACCTGATGGAGCTTGACAATTATTGCAAAGAAGAAACTGCCTAAAGAGAAGTATGCTCAGCTTGAAGCATCACATTAAAAAAGACTTGAGGCTGTAACTGCTGCCAAAGATGGATCAACAAAGTATGAAGCAAAGGCGGTGAATACTTGCGTAAATGTGACTTCTTAGTTTTCCATTTTTAATCAATTTGCAAAAATCTCAAATCCTTTTTCATGTTGTCATAATGAGGTATTATGTGTAGAATTTTGAGGAAAGAGATTTAATACAAGTTGCAATATGACTGTAACATAAAATATGAGAAAAGGGAAGTACTGTGAATACTTTCTGGATGCACTCGCTGTCGGACAAGATACTGAGTAAAGTGGATGTGGAATTGTGCATAAGTCTAGAATCATTCTTATACATATTTTTTTTAATTTGGATTCCAAAAAGCTTGACTAGCTTGTAAATGTTTAAAACGGTCTCAATCAATATTTTTTTTGTTGTTACTTTGGCTGCTTTTTCACTTATCAATCAGTTACTTGATCATTTCCAGAAGACTATTTTTATTTGTTAAACACTTAATCCTAACCTATGTATCATTCATTTATTTAAAAAAAGGCCCCTAACTAAAGTGATGAACCATATAGATGACAGACAACTTGATTAAAAAACAGTTTTAAATCTTAAGACACTTTGTTACCAGCAGCTTGTCACAAAAATACAAATTGTTCCAAATTTTAGTTGAATCAAAATACCAAAAAAAAGTTTGATAAATGTAAATACTGTGGTCAGGTCCAAAAACTCCACAGAAAATGAGCAGGGGGAAAGCAGCCAAAGTCAATGAAAAATAAGTAAACGACCGCATTAAACTTATCAAGAAAGTCTGTCTCCTTGCCGGATTAAGGCATTTGCACATGTAACAAGATATTTTGTTTTTAAAATAAATTCTTACTCCAGTAATTCAAAAATGTTCAGAATCCAGACAAAACATTGCAGAAAAATCTTTAAATTAGGTAACATCAAATCACCTTTTGACTGCTGAAGTAACTACACCAGTCTTGTATTACCTGTGAAAAGCATTAAAGTAACAACTATTAAATACACATAAAATTGAACACCAGTCCTATAAATCTAATGAACCACCATCTTTGCATTTTAGGCTAGTTTGGAGCTTTGCTGGGCTTGTGGGGAGGCTATCACAGATCAGATAATCCGTGCACTCGAGCGAGCGTACCATCCTCCCTGTTTCACCTGCAAAACATGTAAACAGCAAATTGGAGAGCAAGCTTTTGCTCAGGGAGAAGTCGGGGAAGTTTACTGCCTCCAGGACTACTACAGGTACTACACTAAAAAAATAATAGCAGTATATGAATGCATTCATGTTGCATTTAACAGATTTTGCATGCATAAAATCACTTTTTTTTTCTTGTGTCTAGTAGATGTAAAAGACAACAAATAAACATTTCCTCTCCTTGAAAACTGTATTTATTAAGGAAATATGCACCGAAGTGTAGCGCCTGTAACCAGCTCATTATTCCTAAAGAAGATGGCACTGACAGCTATACCGTTGAGTGTTTGGGACGTTCCTACCATGAGAACTGCTATAGATGTGAGGTAGGTGCTCACTGTGCAAACAGGCTATTTTAAAGACACACTGACAAATATACAATCCCACAGACACACATTTATCATCACCAGTCTTTTTTAAGTATCTCTTCTTGTCTGCAGGTCTGTATCATCCAGCTATCCCCTGAACCAAACGAGCACGGCTGCTATCCATTTGAGGGGAAAATGCTCTGCAAGGATTGTCACTTGAACTTGGTTTCTGGGCAGCAGTAACATGAGTCTAACAAACTGCAAACAACTGAAAACTGTGCCTGTTCAGAGAGAGGCTGCATTTAAGAACGACATGCAAATGTCATAACACTTCTTCCAATAGAACATTTAATATCTTCACAATATATCAAGCTTTCTAATAATTCTTCTTTTGTAAATGATCATTTTGCACTCAAAAAAAAGAAATGTATTCATGCAACAGGCTTTACAAAAACTGCACAAGGAACATCTTGGTATGCTTGACCTCTTAGAAAAAGTTTGGTACAAAACAAACATATATAAAAACTAATATAATATATAGTCTATGAAAGCAAACTCCAACACAGAACACGTTGTGCACACAGTGTAAATGCATCTCATACATATCTATGCAACCATAGATCAAGAAAAGCTGAAAGAACATAAACTTCAAGCAACCAGTTTAATGCTAATATTTTGTTTTCATGGAAATATTCAACTCTTCACACTGATCTGACAATATATTAAAATTCCAATCAGTTTACATTTTTTTTTAAGTTTATTAATATTTCAAAATAGAATTATATGTGTAATGAAAAACATAAAATCATTATCTAAGAAAAAAGTGTTTTTCTTTTTTGCGTTTTGATTTGTTGTGTGGCGTGACGCTGCAAGCTATTAATAGAAACAGATGCAGCCAAAGCATAGCTGTTCTGAATTTATGATTTTTCTTTGTCACGTTTTTTGTTCAACGCATAATTTTGACCTAAGGCCACAAATCCCTTGAGGTTTCCATAGGATAAAAATAGTCGGAGCATAACAACCAACAGGCAGCTCAGTTCTTTGTATGTACGGTAGTTTTACATCTCTTTTTAAAGACTGTATGAAGATTGGTTGGGTTTGTGACCAAGCTGGCTCAATGTACTAGCTCATTTAGGTGCAAGTGGGTTAGTAAAGGTTATTGTAGAAGATTAACAATTTTGAGGAACTTTATTACCCAGTTTTATTGTGTATTTGTCTAAAATAGAGGGTTAAACTTGAGCATAAACACCGCTATAGGCAAGAACAGCAGCATCCTAGATGGTGTAAATGCAGGCTAGTGTAAAGAGAGAGCATGATGATGCCAACAGGACCACATCGTCTGCAAACAGAGACAGAATCCAGAAAAGAATCTACAAAAAGGCATCACTTGAGCTAAGAATAACCAGAATGTGCAACATCTTCAATCCTCAAGCAACAAGACCGCTAAAACGCCACTAAGTCATCAATCAAGAATCAAGACTGTTTAATGTTAGCCCACTCGAATACAAGTATGGGCATGTGGGTGGACGTACCTCCGACACGCAGGGGTTAGAGGGTTGAAAAAGCATTTCTCTGAAGCAAACTTGGTGATGTTTAAAAAAACGAGGACAAGTATTAAAATGGTGCAGTTTATAAAGTCTGAAGTCATGCTGTTCCATCCCAGTGGCTCACTCATGAACCATGACATTAACCTTTTCTCTCTAGCCCTGCTAGAGAAACAAAAGGTCACTAATCTGGGGGTGACAATGGACCCGTCCTTAAAACTCAACAGTCACGTAAACATGATGGTCAAATCCTGTTTTTTTCATCTGAGACGGCTGTCTAAGCTGAAGCCTATACTCTCCAAAAAGAACCTTGAGACAGTGATCCACGCCTTCATAACATCTAGGCTTGATTACTGCAATTCACTTCTGTTTGGAATCAGTCAGTCCTCCATTGCTCGTCTACAACTGGTCCAAAATGCTGCAGCCCAATTTTTAACTGGTACAGGCTATAGAGAGCACATCACGTCAGTTTTGGCCTCCCTGCACTGGCTACCCATTCACCTGCGGATCCATTTCAAAATTCTCATGTATGTTTTTAAATCACTGAACAGTTCCGCCCCATCCTATCTCACTGATCTTCTGCAGCCATATGTCCCACCGCGCTCTCTGAGGTCAGCAGACCAGATGCTTCTCTCAGTCCCAGAAACCCGTCGTAAGCTCAGAGGTGACAGGGCTTTCTCTGTTGCAGGTCCACGACTGTGGAATGAGTTGCCACTGAGTGTCCGGCAGGCTCCCACACTCTCAGTCTTCAAGTCTCGCTTGAAGACCCACTTCTATTCGCTTGCCTTTAACACGGTGTGATTTGTTTTGGTCCGGTCTGTTCTCTACTCTTTTGGCCATTTTAGTTAGCTTCTGCTGCTATTTGTATCTGTATTTCTATTTTATGTTTTCCTGTCCGCTGTGCATGTTTGTTTCTTTTGTACAGCACTTTGGTTGGCCTTGTTGCTGTTTTAAGTGCTATATAAATAAATTGGTATGGTATGGTATGGTATAAAGTGGCAGTGCAAGAACACTCAGCTACAGTACCACAGAAAATTTTTGAGTAGTATTGTTAGTTTTTGGCAAGGTAGCATGAGGTAAAGAACAGATTGTTGTATATTTTTTAGGGTCTGGTATGTTCTAGCCTTTGGTGTAAGGTGGAGGTCCCAAGTCAGAGGCTGTGCAGACATATCCTTATAAATGGTTCTTAGTGATCTGATGGCATTTGTATAGAGCTACTGTAAATTCAGTTCTGAATGGCCTCAAGAGTGTATTGAACGTGTCTTCAATCAGACCACTTTTGGACCTCCTTTATCCATGTCTGTTTGGTAGTTTGATGAGTCAAGCTGTAAGACTACCTGAACTGATGTGACCCTATACAAGCAGAAGAATGCCCACTTCAAGGTAAAGAAACTACCGGTAAACTATCAGGATTTTATTAGTCAAAGTGGGTTATAAGATGTTGGTGAGTTTCTTTTTGAGTGTGATGTTTGTTCTGGTTGTTTTTCGAGCTGATTGAATTTGCTGTGATCACTGTGAGCTGTGAACAGTTTGCGCAGCCTTATATCACATTATATTCACCTAATTAAACATGGCGCGTTGTGAGTTTGATGGGTTAAAGTCTTACAGAGTTAGGCAGTGAGGCTCAGTAAGAGACATTTCATCTCAAATGAGACTCAAATGGCTCTGAACCGTGTTAATGTCAAATTGATAATGATATAGTTCAGATGTCTGGATGTATTGTGATTTTTACAGAAACACCAGCTTTGTCACATCTGACCGTTCATTGTGTGACATAGATGTCAGGATCTGCATACAGAGCAGGTATGTTCTAATAGTAAATCCCAAAAACATCTTGGGGTAGGCCTAACCATCAAGGTGTGAATGCACCCAATCGGCGCTGACCACTTGAAACCAGTTTACACAAGAAGCTAGTATAAAGTCTGAACGGGGCCTAATTGCTTGGAAAGACATTATGGTGTCTGGTAGTGGTTCTGAATGCTTCTGAACATTTCAACAGACTACATGGAAAGGACTCAATGCCTGTGTGCGGTCAGATGTACCCTCATCTGGACAAAAGCAACAGAGTTTGGCTCCACAATAAACAAGATTACTTACTTTTATACCACATCCAAAATACCTCCAAATCCGAGGCCATGGTTCTCAGTCGGAAAAGGGTGGATTGCTCTCTTCAGGTCGAGGGTGAGGTTCTGCCTCAAGTGGAGGAGTTCAAGTATCTTTGGGTTTTGTTCAGGAATGAGGGAAGAATGGAGCGTGACATTGACAGACAGATTGGTGCAGCATCTGCAGTATTGCAAACTCTGTGCTGGTCCGTTGTGGTGAAGAGGGAGCTGAGCTGTAAGGCAAAGCTCTCCGTTTACCAGGCGGTCTACGTTCCTACCCTCAACTATGGCCATGAACTTTGGGTGGTAACCAAAAGAATGAGATCGCGGATACAGGCGGTTGAAATTAGTTTCCTCTGCAGGGTAGCTGAACTCTCCCTTAGCGATAGGGTAAGAAGTTCAATTATCTGGGAGAGGCACAAAGTAGAACCGCTGCTCCTCCAGATCGAGAGGAATCAGTTGAAGTGGTTCGGGCATCTGGCAAGGATGCTCCCATGGCATGTTCGACTGGGAGGAGACCCCGGGGAAGACCCAGGACACGATGGAGAGACGTCTCTTGGTTGGCCTGGGAACGTCTTGTTATCCTCCCAGAAGAGCTGGAAGAGGTAGCTGTGGAAAGAGATGTCTGGGCCTCCCTGCTCAAGCTGCTGCCCCTTCGACCCGGCTTCGGATCAAGCGGAAGATAATGGACAGACGGACTTACTTTTATTGTTATTAATGTGGGATAGTTCCTAAATAAATTACAATTACATTGTAATATTCTTGATTAAGCAATATAACGGTGACTATTGTCATAGGCTACACTCTTGTTATCAAAAAATATGGCATACACATAATTCACAAACTGAGTTCGACCTCTGAACAGAATACAAGACCTACTCAGCCTACTTCCGCATTTGTGCATACCAGTATCGTTGTTTTTGTCTTGAGTTAACTTCTTCCGAGTAAGGTCGCCAAAGATTTCGGTCACGTGTGCTTAGTGGTGCGCGTGAACGACGCAGCGAGGTTGATCCGCGTTCACGCGCTCGGATCGAGGACGCCGTAGCTAAAGCTAAACAGGGGAGCGGAGCAGCAGCCAGGCAGGCTATCGGGCCCAGATCGTTCACGGATTCAGCCGTCGGTCATTTTGTTCAGGCGGACCTCCGACCGGCAGGGATTAGAAACGTGCCAGATCATATGTGTTTGAACGGGGACATAAAATCGCAAGATGGTTCGGGAAACCAGACACCTTTGGGTGGGAAATTTACCCGAACATGTTCGCGAGGAGAAAATTGTGGAGCATTTTAAACGGTAGGTTACGCAAGAGAGAACCTACGTTTTGTGAAGCCTCGCGCGCTGTCTCTAGTACGAGGGCGAGCCTGCTGTCACTGCTAACTCTGCTAACGTTAGCATTTTTAAGTTTCACCAACCAGGGGACCCATCGTGTTTTGCACGCGCTTTATTACAGCACGTCGATACTTGTCAAAGAAAAATCCACGAAATTGAAAAACCTTAACGCAAACGCTGATAATTTATATTCTTCCGCTAACTTTTGCTAACGTCAGTAGGTAGTTAGCTGGGTTTGCTAGCTACCGAGCTACCACCCAGCCAACCATTTTGTGGGTAAGTCGACAGGTTTTTCGCGATCTGTACAAGCCAAAAGGCTACGTCAACAAATACAGGGCGAAAGCATTAGCTGACTTTAATTAAATTAGTCAGAATAAAATTGGACTATTATTATAAATTATCGACTGTACGTATAGAAAATCGGGAAAAAAATCACAAACTTTCGTAGCTTTTTGTTGAGCTTTTTTCGGTTGCAGTGTGACTGGAGCGAAAATGGCATTAAAGTGCTATTTGCGAAGGTTTTTGGAAGTTGCACATCAGATGTTTGCGAGCCTTAAATTCGGATAAAGAAAGCCTTTGACGCTGTTGTCATTTTCTATCAATTACGGAGGCCATTTGACTCGTCAACAAGCCATCTACCAACAAACTGCAGTTTATGATTCTCGTTTTATCGAATGTGCTGCAGGAGACAGTGCTTTGGGTTGTATTTTAATACAGTTCTGCATTGCATCTAAGAATAAGTCTGATAACTTTAGTCACTAAACCACCAAATTTGTGCTCTGAAATGTATTTAAAAACCTTATTTTTGAAAAGTGCACACAACCTGGTGCATAAACACTTTTTATATTATAGTTGCCTACAATACAGTTCTAAAAGTAAAAAAAAAACTTTTTTTTTTAAAGTGGTCTTTGTTTTCATTATCAGATCATTTCTGCTCTACATTTAACAGACTCGGCATACAGAGTTTGTGCTCAGAGTCTATTCTTACCTTGTGTGTGTATATAATTTTGTTCTCATTGTTTTCATTGTGATTCCCTCTCAGGTATGGCCGTGTGGAGAGTGTTAAAGTTCTGCGAAAGCGAGGGTCAGAAGGTGGCGTTGCGGCCTTTGTGGATTTTGTGGATATCAAAAGTGCACAGAAGGCTCATAATGCTGTCAACAAGATGGGAGATAGAGACCTTCGAACTGACTACAATGAACCTGGGTCAGTCCCTAGTGCTGTGCGGGGCCTTGAAGATAGCTCCCCTTCGAGCAGTCGAGACGTTACAGGATTTTCTAGGGGAACAGTTGGTCCAGTGTTTGGCCCACCTGTATCCCTACACACCCGAGAGGGACGTTATGAAAGGAGAATAGATGGGTAAGTGGACACGGTGCCCCTCGAAAACTCCAGGGCATTCTAGGTACCACATAAGTGTAAAACCTAAACACATAGGTTATCCATCAGGGATTGTTACCTGAAAGGGTTACACAGAGGTAATTTAGGGATTGCTCAACTCTTCATCATACGTGACTCGCCTTGCCCATGGAATTTATGTAACCTAACAACACTATCATTTCCTAAGGTAACTGCATTTCAAGGTTTATACATCTGATTGGATTATACATTTGTGAGGAATATCCTGGTGAGTTGTGGATTTATCGTGTGGGAAACTACTTTGGAGAGCTTTGGATGTATATTTTTTGTTCAACATGGAATGTAACCTGAATTTTTATTTGGAATCGCTTGAAGGTGGAAGTAACTCCGATTTAAAATGGATGTACTTTGTCTCAGAGGAATTTATGCACATCACTTAGTCATTTTTGTTCCAGTATAACGAGCTGATTGTTGGACTACATTTTTATTTTTTGTGTCTGTGGATACCACTCATCTGGATTTTAAGTTTTGACTTTTTAGATGGAAGATGTTTAAATGAACACATCACAAGAAAGCCAACGTACCTGTTATTTTAGAACAAAGTAGCTATTTATTATTTATCCCAAATATGGAATTTAAAGATGACTTTGCAAGACATCCACAGGCCAAACAACTTTTGTTTTGACGTTGATGGCTGTGAAGACGCATAAAGAATGCCTTAAAGGTTGTGACCACCTGGATTTATGCAATACTACGTCTTATGCTGGATGTAATGATGTGAATCCTATTGTGGATAAATGCAACTTACGTAAATTTGGATTACTCAGGAGTGGATGTATCTGCGTGAGACCTTAGTGAGGAGAAGAGGTTTCCAGCTATATTAGACCAAACAAAGGACTACCGGTATTTTCTTTTAATACCCTGATGAAATACTGCAAAGTAAAGAAGACTGAGAAAACATCCCATATTGGAGTTATGCGATGCCAAGAATCCATGGGGATTTAATGTGACATGCCTGGGCCTTCTGGCTTGCGTGTGGTTTAATATTCGGATGTTAACCAGTGGAATACTTTTTAAACTTTTTTTTTTCCAACTTAATGCTCAACCTTTGGGATGTATTACTACTTCATACCAACCAGACGGATGCATTTGGATGTATTTTCCATGCAGTCTTCAGTATACATAATAACCTTGACTTGGAATATTCTGAAAACGCAAGTTCATCCTTTTTTTTTTTTTACCATATTATTAAGATTTTATATTCCTGTACTTTTCTCCCATTTGTCCTGGAATTTATTAGGAACTAATTTCTAAAGTTTTTTTTTTCTTGGAAAGATGCAAGTAGCTAAATGTGAAACCATGGATTATACCTCGATGCTGGCCTGATTTTCAGTAGAAGATGACGTGAAAGAGGAGCACCATTTTTTCATAATTTAATCTGTTGATTTTTTTTTTTTTTATCCCTGGTTTCTTCATTCGGGCTCGCACATTCTGACCATCTAGATTTTATTTGGATTAGTTTCTTTATCTTCTTTTCTAAAAGGTTGGTATTGCTTTGAGTCTGGCCTATGCATATATTGTTTTCTCTGTTTCCCTAGGTGCTTTTTGTAATATTTGACACTGATTCCTGAAAAGTTAATTTGGTGCTAGAGATGACAAATATCAAGCTTTAAATTGAATAACTGGGGTTAGTTTATGTGTAATCTTTGTATTGTTCTCTCCTTGTTAATGTATAAAATATTGTTTCCAGAGTTTTCATAAATTCTTAAAGTACTACTTAAATTATAAGCTTTAATCTGAACTGCATTCATGATATTTGAATTGCTTGTAAACTGAGATTCTTCAAATAAGAATATTGACTACTAAGGAGAAATATTTCATTTTGATATTTGTCATATTTGCACCAATTCATGAAAAGTTAGTCTTTGAAATCAACTTAGGCTGAGGAATGCTTAGTAGTGCTTTTGTTTGTTTTTTTTATTTATGAAAAATGGCTTCAGAAGTCTTAAAACAGCCTGTACCGATGTGACAGATAACGTTTATGCTATTGAAGAAAGTTTAAGTAATTTTGTTGCTCAAAAATTAATATTTAATTGTGAACTATTAGCATTGTTTGTTTTCAGTTAATTTTTTGTTAGACTGGAATTCATATTGAAGTATGCATACACTGTCAGTAAATGAAGGGTTGCATACTTCTATTTGTTTATTTGTTAGATTATTTGATTGTCAAGGGCATATTATTTAATTTTCTATTAGATGATTCATGTGGGGAAAGAAGCCAAATAAAATCTTGCAATTAAAAAATAATAATTAGCATGAAAACTGTGGTTTAACATTATGCCACAGAGACCACTGTTGAGGCATATTATAAAACTGCTAAGAGACTATACTGGTTTTTGATGAAGAAGGATTGACAAGAAATGCAGGCAGTGTAAAATGTAACCTGATCAACCCTCCTGCTGACCCACAAAGCCTAAAACCGAGGCCTTGTGGCCCGTGGGTCATTTTGATCCAAGGACAGCAGGAGGGTTAAGCCAGAAAATTCAAACTTGCATCATATTTGGCAACTCTTGTGTTCTTGCTGACTGATTTTGTTATAGTTGAGCAATTAAGTCTTTATTGATCTAACCTCTTGTTTTTAAAATGTCTCTACCATATTCTTAATTCACAGTAGTTCAGAAAGCCGTGAACGTGCGTATGATCACAGCCCGTATGGACACCATGACCGCAGCGGGACATTTGACAGACAGCGTCACTACAACGCTGATTATTACCGTGATCGCTCTGTGTTTGCAACTGCTGGTCCAGGAAGCAGTGCTATTGGAGGAAGTTTTGAGGCGTCAGACCCACATTTTGACTCTAGAATACGAGACCCATTTACTCTTACTAATTCGACACGACGTGACCTGTACAGAGATGACAGAGGGCGACGTGCCGATCGAACCTATCATCACAGACGAAGCAGATCGTCTCATTCCTCGCAGTCAAGGCAACCTTCGCCTCAAAGGACCACAGGGCAAACCTCCAAAACTCCTCATTCCCCTAAAAGAACCACCTTATCTCCCGGGAGAGGCCCAAGATCGCGGTCCCGCAGCAGATCTTCTAGTTCTGACTCTGTCAGCAGCACTAGCAGCACAGGCAGCGGCAGGTATGAAACTTGATTTGTGTATGTTTTCCATCATAAAGAACCATAAACATGCTTTAGTTTTGATTGGCAAATAATTTATATCTGATTTGTTTTCCATCTGTGTGTATTTGTTTGTTTTTCCTCTCAATAGTGACTCAAACAGCAGCTCAAGTGATGGTTCTCAGGCACGCTCTGTTCAGTCATCAGCCACAAACGCTCCTCATCAGTCCTCGATGATCCTAGACTGTGAAGAGCCACGTAGAAGCTGTGGAATTAAAGTGCAAAATCTACCAGTGCGCTCCACAGGTCAGATGTTAATTTTGACAGCCTCTCAAAATTTCAGCATAATAGTCTACTAATACTTCTTCAAAACTATTGGTCACTTCTGAAAATGTAAAGATAATGACATCATGTCACTTGTCCTTAGGGCTAATAGGAATTCAGAGTTAATAGACACAACAGTTAGTTAAAATCTAATTTGTGGTTAAGTGTGATCGTGAATCTGGGCTATTAAACCTTTGTTTAATTACTTTACTCAAGGTGAACAGGGATTTTAAACTTTTTTTCAGCATTACTAGAGGTTGTTAATCACCTTTATTACTGTTCTTGATTTACTCCTCTTGTGTTCAACTGTATTGAATTTTTTTAACAGGAGAAAATATTTCATTGGCAATATTTTTATCTTTCAAGTTTCATTAAATAGCTTAATTATATTCCCACTCTTTTTAAATGGCTTTACATTTATTTCTATGTTCACAAATGTAGTTAAAATTTCTCAAATCATTTGTTTTCGATTTACTTAAATTTTTAATTTGAGAAATATGTTGTTTTTTGTTACAGTTGATAAGATTTAATGGAATGACTCCTCTTACTTATTCTCTGCAGACACAAGTTTAAAAGATGGCCTCTTCCATGAATTCAAGAAATATGGCAAGGTGACGTCAGTGCAGATCCATGGAGCATCAGAGGATCGTTATGGTTTGGTGTTCTTCAGACAGCAGGAAGACCAGGAGAAAGCCCTCGGTGTTTCCAAGGGAAAGCTGTTTTTTGGCATGAATATTGAAGTCACTGCCTGGAATGGACCTGGTAAATGTTGACAGATCAGTTGTTCTTTTTTCGTTTTGCTTACAGATTTTTACAGCATTAACAATTTTTCAAACTTTAGTGCGTGTAGGTGAAGACGATTTGCCTAAATTTGACTTGTATGTCAACAATATTTAAAACGTCTCCTCCTTCCCTCAGAAACGGAGTCTGACAATGATTTCAGGCCTTTGGATGGACGCATAGACGAGTTCCACCCTAAGGCTACGAGAACACTGTTTATAGGGAACCTTGAGAAGACGACAAGTTATCAGCAGCTTCTTGACATTTTTCAACGATTTGGAGAAATTATTGTAAGTTTCAACAGAGCTCTGTTCTGTAGAGGTAAAATTGCTCACTTTACAGTGAAAATATTCTAATTGTTTCTTTTTCTCAAGGACATTGACATCAAGAAAGTCAGTGCAATTCCCCTGTATGCCTTTGTTCAGTATGCAAACATTACTAGTGTCTGTAAGGCTATAAAGAAAATGGATGGAGAGTATCTGGGAAGCAATAGGCTAAAGGTAGTAATTGTTCATTTTATTTTGATTAAGAAATATAATAATTTCTTATTCCTGTATATTAACAATAAAACACAATGTTTTGTGTATATAAAATGCTTCTTGCTCTTTTTTTACCATGAAGCTTGGCTTTGGGAAGAGCATGCCCTCAACGTGTGTTTGGCTTGACGGTTTGACCCCCAATATTACAGAGCAATTTATCACACGGCAATTCTTGCGTTTTGGACATGTAGTTAAGGTAAGCTGTTCCATTTTTTTTTTCTTGCTTATGACATTTTTGGGGTTTAATTTTAATGTTATTTGTCATGACCGTAATTAAAAAGATTTTTTACTTTTTATAGGTTGCGCTTGATCGAATAAAGGGGATGGCCCTCGTCTTGTACAATAACACAGATTTTGCTCAGGTAGCTGTGAGGGAGACCAAAGGCTGGAAAGTTGGTAGAAATAAAATAAAGGTAAAAACAAACAAACGTGTAATCATCATATTCAATTATGATTTGTTGTTTTGTGCCTTAATGTTGTGTTTAATATGTGTATATATATATATATATATTTTTTTTTTTTCTTTATAGGTGGACTTTGCAAGTCAAGAAAGTCAGGCGGCATTCTACCGTTCAATGCAGGAGTCTGGTCAAGACATTAGAGACTTCTATGAAGTTCCACCTGAACGACGGTAAATTGACATAATTGTGTACCATTGTTTCTTTTCTCGCCCACCCCTTAAGGCAAAGGGGCAAGAATTTGTTTTTGCCTGTGTGTGTGTGTGTTTTAGTCATGTTAGCCAAGTGTCTCACAAACAGCTGGACAGATTTTAATGAAAGTCAATGTATGTCTGCAACTGATTGTCAGCTAAATAACCTTGGCTGTTACTAATTTTACAAATATTCAGCTAAAATTTGGTTGTGGTAATGGCTGTGTTCCATTAACAATTCAGTTCAGTTTATTTATATAGTGCCAAGTCTCAACAGAACTCATCTCAGGGAGCTGCACAGAAATATTCATATACACAAAAAACAAGTAGATAACATTAATTATCTGAGGAGCAGACTGCTTTCAGTTTAACTTCATCTCAGACTCATCTTGAGCAAGCATGAAGGCAACAGTCAAAAGGAAAAACTCCCTCACGAGGAAGAAACCATTAGCAGAACCAGGCTCAGGACAAGCAGCCGTCTGCTTCGACCGGCTGACTCTGAGGGGACAGGAAGGAGGAACAGATGCACAATGGCAGGTTGAGAATCACATGTTAAGATAGAAATAATATCAAATGAGAACTATTCAATTTTAACAATTCATTTTAGGAAATGAGGTAAATTTGTCCTCCTAATTATAGGATTTATCAAAAAGGAAAGTCTTAAGCTCAGTCTTAAAACTGGTCTGTGTCAGCCTTACAGACAGAAATTGGAAGTTGGTTCCACAAGAGAGGAGCCTGATAACTGAATGATCTTCCTCCCATTCTGCTTTTGGAAACTCTTAGACTGCAGGTTTACTTGCGGTTCCGAGAGTGAAGTGCTCTGTTGGAAAAATATGGAACAATAAGATCTCTAATATAAGATGGAGCTAGGTTGTTGAGAGCTTTGTAGGTGTGAAGTAAGATTTTGAATTCAATTCTGAATTTAACAAGTAGCCAATGGAGAGAAGTTAAAACTGGAGATATGATCTCTCCTACTAACTCCAGTTAAGACTCTGGCAGCAGCGTTTTGGATCAACCGAAGACTTTTTATGAAGTTTTTGCACACCCAAATAAACCATTGCAGTAGTCCAGTCTAGACGGGATTAATGCATGAACCAGTTTTTCTGCATCATTTTTAGATAAGATGTTTCTAATTTTAGCGATATTACGCAGGTAGAAGAAGGCGGTTATAGTAACTTTTTTAATGTGGGGGCAGCAACGACAGCTTAAAGTGCTAATACATTTAGTAAGATCTTGTAATATCACGAGATCTTGCATAACATAATTTAAAAAGTTTGATCAGATTTTACATCTTATGGGCAGTATGAATTCCTGCAAGAACTGCTAGGCCTCTAATTATGCTGTCTTTGCATTTGTAAGGGAATTACGTTTAAATGATTATGGTCATGCTTATAGACATACGTGTGTGTGTGTGTGTGTGTGTATATATTATATATATATATATATATATGTATGTATACACACACTAATTATATAGTTCTTACATCATTTGTGATGTGGAAAATTGGGTTTCTAGATATTCCTAATTTTCTCCTCCATTTGTCTCCCTTTTTTTTTTTTTTTTTGTAGAGAGGAATGCAGACCTCCGTATCATGAATTTACAGCAGAGAGACCTTACTTTGAGAACATACGAACCCCTGGACTTTACCAAGAGGAGGCTCGAAGAGACTATGCTGCACGCAGCAGAGAGCGCTTTCCTGAACTGGAACATTATCAGGGGGATCACTTTGACCCACGCTATCATGAAGACCCAAGGGACTACAGAGACTACAGAGACCCTTTTGAGCAAGACATCAGAAAATACACATATATACAAAGAGAACGAGAGAGAGAGCGGGAGCGTTTTGAAGCTGATCGTAACAGGTGGAGCCCATCTCATCCCAGGCGAGCTATTACTCCCACAATATCAACATCCCCATCTGAGCGTGCTCCCCGAGACGCTGAACGACGAGTTAACAGCCAGTCTTCTGAAAGAAGTGGCAGTGTGAGCTCATTGTCCCCTCCACATTTTGACAAATCTGAAAAGACCCTGCAAGAACATACATCAAAAAGTGAGAAATGCACTCAGCCAGATCGTGTGGCAGGAACTGAAAAAACCAAACGTCCAAAACGAAAAGATAAAGCTGACAAAGATAAAGGCGACAAGGGTAAACCAAGGAAAGTAAAGGGTCAGTCCCCATCTAATCCTCCAACAGAAACGGAGCTGGAGACTGGTTTTGATGGCGTGTCTGGAAAAGGAAGGGGATCAGACCAAGATGCTCCTGAGAGACAAAAATGTAAGGGTGAAAGTGACAATCTATCTGGAAACCAGTTGACATCTGTTCATCAAGATTCTGTTAAAAGTGAAAAATCGGAAATTAATAAATGCGATAGTTCAGAGTTGGATGGAAAGGCTCGACCCAAAAAACATTCAAAGTCTGATATTGGGAATGATGGGAAAGATTCATCAGTAGACTTAGAACGCCTTGCTGCAAGAAAAAGGCGTTTTGCTGATGGTGGAAAGGCTACGCCAGTAAAGAAAAGCAGGCACGAGGAAGAAGTTGGTAATCAGTCATCTGAACTAGGTGCCAGTTCTGCTTATTTGAAAGAACCAGATACTGACAAACACAAAGAATCACAAAGAAGAGATGCACGACTCAAACTTGATAAATGTAGCAATCAAAAAGATGGTCAAGAGGACATTAGAGGGCAAAGGGAGAAATCTGAAGGATCCTTAGACTTATTGGAGTCAAAACGACATCCAGGAAGTACTTCATCAAGAAGGGTCTCACAGGAAGGAAATGCAGATCAAAGCAGTACAAGAGAACAAGACCACCATGATGCAATAAAACTTAATCAGAATGTTGAAACTAATAAAATCAGCAAGAACAAGGAAGACCATGTTGACATCGACCTGTCTCAGAGTTACCGTAAGCAGATGGAACAAAATAGACGCTTACATCTGCAGAAGCAGCAGCAACGCGAGTCTGACAAACTTGAAAAAGCAGAAGCTACTCAGAGAAATGAAGCTGAAGACTTGGAATATCGTAGTCTTGTGCATGAAGTTGGTAAACCACCTGAGGATGTCACAGACAATTTTCCATCTCACAAACCAAAAAAATCAGACCAGTTTGAGACAGAATCTGGAATTAAAAGAGAGCGCGTCTACAGACGACAATGCAAAGATCCTGAGTGGACCAGCACACCCTCTCCAGGACACCAGCTCTTTGCTCAGCATGTAGATGAAGACTTAATAGATTCTTCTCAAAAAGAGTTTGGTCGAAATGATGAGAAAATTCACACCGAGCTTGAGCTGTTCGTCAAAAGAACACACAACACACAAGTGAATAAGGGAGTCACTCCTACAAATAGCGTTGAAGAAGAGCAGCAAAAGCGATGGGAGAGCAGAGGTAAACAAGACTTGTTACCAAACATGACCTTTTCTGGAAGTCTAAGTAAAAACATTCATAATCGCAAGCATTTGGAGTATGGTATTTGGCATGACTTGGAGCCTGGGGAAGTGCGATCAGACTCTGAAGAAGACAGAGAAATCAAATCTCACTCTCCCATGCCTTCAACATCTGTTCCTCTTTCTGAAAGGCCTAGACCTGATAGGTTTTCAGATCCCAAACTTACACACCTTGAAAGAAATAAATTCTACTCTCTTGGTTTTGATCAGACCATCACTCCTGATACAAAGGCTCTGCTAGAACGGGCAAAATCTCTCTCATCTTCTCGAGAAGATAACTGGTCGTTTTTAGATTATGATTCTCACTTTGTAAATTTTTGCACCAGGAAAGATACAGAGAAAGTAGAATCAGCGCCAAGACCTACACCTTCTTGGTACAAGAAAAAGATCCGAAGTGGCTCAGAAGACAAACTTGATGATAGAAAAGAAGAGCCTAAACCTGAGGAGCAGGAACGCAGAGAACTCTTTGCGTCACGCTTTCTTCACAGTGCTGTGTTTGAGCTGGACTCAAGACGACTTCAGCTTCTTGAGCGCAAACACAAAGAACTTGAGCATATGCTAAATCAACAAGCTAGTCAGCATGGGACAGATAGTGAACTTGAAACCGGGCCAGTTGTTCTTTTCCACAGTCGATATTTGGAGTTCACTCAGCTACAACAACAGAAGAACAAAACTCAGCGGCTGCAGGAGGACAAAGGAGATGCCACAAACACAGATGAAAAGAAAGCGAAGACGCCTGATCTAGAACAACAACAACAACAACAACAAACTGTACAGTCTCCCAGCACAGCAGAATCTATCACAGAAGTAGAAATTAAACCAATCATTCCAGCAGTAGAAGCAATTCCTGAACAAAACATCCAACCTAATACTGTCCCCATATCTGTGAATAAGGACATGCCTCCATCAAATGAGAAATCTGTGACATTAAATGCAGCCCCTGATGTTTGTCCACCTGTGGCTTTAATAAAAGAAGAAATAAAGGAAGTAAAACAAAGTGAAGTTGAACCCGTAAACCATTCACCAACTGAGACTACAGTAAAGTCAGAACCTGCACCAATAGCAGACCCTGAACCCAACTATCCATTGAATAGACTTAAACTTTCTCCAACTATAGTGACAGTGGTTACTACAGAGGATGTGAAACCTCCAATTAAAGAAGAAATGTGTCACCCTGAACCTAAAGAAGAATTAATGAGCAAGTCGGAACTAAAACTTAATCCTGAGACAACTCAACCAGAGGTGCCTGTAGCTAGTAGTCCAGTTCATCCTACTTTTGTGGAAGAGGTGGATGTAACCAAGAAAGAAACATATCCTACCTGTGAAATCACTGTAGAGCCCGAGGAAGAGAATAAACTTCAAGATAGTAAAGCCCATATGTCTGTTACAAGTGACACAAATGAAGAGATAGTCAATCAGAAAGAGAATAAAGCAAAAGAAATTAAAACTAAAAAGAGCAAACAATCTCCTGCACAGGTTGGTCAAGTACCTGTATTGTCAGCCACGGTTTTTGAGAAACAGGCAACACGTAAGAGTGAGCGCATTGACAAAGAGAAACTGAAACGTGGCTCATCTCCAAGAGCTGAAGCAAAGTCTACGAGCAAGTCTCCTATCCATGCATCAGATCATGACAATTTTGAGCCGAGCATACCATTGGGTAGAGCGAGACGAAGAAATGTTAAATCTGTTTATGCCACCCCTGTTGAAGATGATGCACTGGTTGTTTCTCGAAAGGAAATTACAGAGTCACCACGTTCTGCACGAAAGCGAGTTACAGAGAAAGAGCGAGTTACAGAGAAAGATGCCGTGCAACAAAGCACTGAACAAGAACCACCACCACCACCACCACCTCCTCCTCCTCCTCCAACCCATCCAGCAAAACGGGGTCGTCCTCCTAAAAACCGTAAACTATGGGAAGAAAGTTCAATTGCTAAGGCAGAAAAAATAAAACTAGACAACAAAGACACTGATTCAAATGAATCCGAAAGTGGTGAAAGAATTCTAAAAGTTCCTAAAGGAAAAACAATTCCCCAAGTCGCAAAAACATCATCAAATCAGTTACTCTCAGCTGCAGGGTCTGTATCAACAAAAAAAGTAGATAAAACTGAGACAGCTGAAGAGACACAAGAAATACATTTAACTGAGTCGCATACTTTGGTTGATTCATCAAGTTTGAGCAAAGATTTATCAGTGAAAAATGACAACTCGAAGAAAGATGAAAAGGTTAAACAAGACATAGAACTGTGCAAAGATAAAGATGTTTCACTGGAAAATGTTGGTGAGGAAAAATCAGATGGGAAAGAGACAAATTGTCTGGTTGATGAAAAACCCACCTCAGAGAAAGACCGGACTGTAAGAGGGAAAGTCAAGTCAAGCAGGACTCCAAAATCTCCTGTGCTCAAGAACCTTAAAATCCGACTAAATGTCACAGAGGTCAAAGATCTTCTTCAGTTAGGCGAGGAAGAACTAGGGAACCAAGAAGACATGCAAAAAAAGATCAAACCTGGTGACCTCATTGATGCTGTTTCAAAGAACATAACTGTTAATAAAGGGTGTCCTGATGAAGAAAAGGGTACAAAGGAGACTGAAACTTCAAAAAGCTCGATTTTACAGGAGAGAGAATTGGAGCAGGCTGTGGAGAACATTGCCAAACTTACTGATCCAACTTTTACAGCAGAACCACAGACTTCACCTGTCCACCCAGCAGAAGCAAAAAGTGACGCAGAGGAAGAAAAACCTTCTAACCCTGCCAGTGAGACCGAACTGATTGCTGCTATTGACTCAATAACTGCTGAAAATGCAAGTGTATCTCTTCCCCAAGCCCCTTCAATCCAGACCGATGTATGTTCAGAACCTGAAATGCAAGACCTAATTCAGCCAGTCAAGGTTAAAGAAGTTGAATTAAATTCTTGTGCTAAACAAGAGGAACCTGCCTTCTCCAACACACCCAAAAAGGGCAACAAAGGAAGGCCAAAAACACCTAAACGCTCTAAAGCTATAAAGCAAGTAAAAAAAGACTCAAAAGAACAGCCACTAAGTGAGAAACCAACAATGCCTTTAGCTGGGAACACAACTTCAGATGCAAAGATTGTGTCTGAAACACCTCCATCAGCAGCAGCTACTGCTGCTGTTATTACCTCTACTACTTGGAAGCCAGAGCTTCCAGCTGCTACAGAGATGGTGTCATCTTTGGAAGAGCAGAAACAACCCCTGAAATCTTTGTACCCTCAGGCTAAGAGTCCAATATTCTCAAAACCTCAGCAGTTGCCACCTGACAGCATCTCCCTTGCTCTGGCCTCAAACAAATCAAATATCAGACCCATTCAAACAAATAGAGCTTCTCTTTCTCCACCTGACTGGCGCCAGCAGGCTAAAGAGACAGGTGTGTCTTCTCCACATGTCATGTCTTTGGCAACCAAGGAAAGTCAGCCAGCATGCTCAGACTCGGATAAAATTAATATTGATCATGGCACAAGTGACTTGAGACAGATTCTAATGAAAACTAAATCTGGTTCCCTCCAAAGTAATCTTGTTATTTCTAGTAATCTGCCCAACCTTCGAGATCAGAACTTGTCTGAAAGCAGTACTTCTCTCACAGCTGTCGTTCCTAACAAGTTGTCACACCCTGACAACAAAATGCCATCTCATTCAGCACCACCTGTTGTTCGACCTCCAGTGTCATTGACATCCTCCGAAACAAAATCTGTGATCTCTGTTATTGCATCTACTGGAACCTCTGTTATCAGTCGCATTTGCAACCCTCCTGAGCCTGAGGTAAAAATAAATGTAAACATTGGAAACCCCTGTATTGAAAAGGCTTTACCCAAAACTGCATATAGACCAAGCAAAGATGATACTAGCTCATATCATAGGCCATCTGATGAAGGGGCAAGTGCTCCACTCTTCATTGTTGAGAACCCTGCCCTCAGTACTGGGTCTTGCTCTGGTCTTAGAGTAAACACATCTGAAGGAGTGGTAGTATTGAGCCACTCTGGCCAGAAAACAGAGGGACCCCAGAGGATTAGTGCCAAGATTAGTCAAATCCCACAAGCAACAGCAGGTGACATGGAATCACAACAGCTAGTGTCTATGCCTCAGATTAAACAGGACATTTATGGTCATTCTCAGTCAGGACTTCAAAAGGGACCTTCATTACAGACAGATCATGGGCATTCCGTTAAGCCACAGTCAGGTCTGTCTTGTAATAAACATGAAAGCAGTAGTTTGGAAAAGATGGATTCTGCTTATCAGCCTGGTCCTCAAGGAGTAGTAAAGCGCCTCTCGCAGGCTAACCAGCCAGTCATAAGTTATCACCAAGACTACATGCAATTAAAGCATCAAAAGAAAATTGATAGTGCTGATTCACATTCTGCAGATGGAGCAAAACCATCTTGGACCTCCACTGTAAGTCCTGCAATAAGCCCCCATTTGCCTTCTCCACCTGGAAACCATGTAGGTTTTCCTACGTCCGCTGGTGACAGAACTACTTCGCATCTTGGGGCGATCAAACCAGAGCCACGATCTCCACGCAAGTCTGGCCATCCACATTCTCCATTTACTAAAGTGTCCTCACCCATAGGTTCCTCGTCACCAAAAGGCATCCCTGTAATGCTATCCTCTGGCCATCCTGCCATGCAACAGTTTATTACTGGTGTTCATCATCCAGAGCAGTCTGTTATCATGCCTCCTCACAGTGTGCCTGGAGGTTTGGGACGGATGTCTCCTCATTGTGTTTCCCAGCCGATGTCAATGGGACATCTTGTACAAGGAGATGTTAGGGTCAACACACCACCTTTATCTGTGATGAACTATGGGATACACAGTGACTCGCTCGCCTCTCCCTGGTCCGGTCCTCTGCAGCCACGGTCTTCCCCACCCCAGCCTGCTGGCAGAGACAAGGTTCTTAAAGTTAATCCTGGTTCTTTAAGGAGTCATGAGGGGGAACAGGAAGAATCCATGCATTTACACCAAACAGGAAGACCACCTTCGTCTTTGCCATCAGATCCTCGTGGGCCCATGAGAAATAGTGTTCCACTAGAATCGTATATGGTTCAGAGAGACATGCGTGTGCTCATGCACCAGCAGGGGGAGCGATTGACCACAGACCCTCACCCTGGACATATTCAAGAAACTCTAACTCCGTCTCTATCTCCAAGAGCGCACATTTTGCCGAAAGGTGTAACGGAGAAAGATCTAACGAAGTCATTAGAAGCAAAGAGGCCACACTCTCCTCATCCAAAGGATGGAATGATGGGTGTCAGGCAAGCTGGTCCAGCAGTGGCTTCTCCCCAGAGGGTTCAGCTAATGCCACCAGGACCAGGTGGATCATTCTCAGAGTACTCTGGGATGTACGCAAACCGTATCCATTCTAAAATGCCAGAGGCTCCTGTTGGACATAACCAGCCACAACTGAACGTCACACAGTCTATGGTGAGTAAGCTGCAGTTACAAGTTCATCATAAGCAAACAACTTACGTTTCCTAAAACTAGCTTTGATTAAGCATTTTTTTTATTTCAACAGGGTTTTAGTTTGTCTATTCCTTTAGTACAAAGTAAAACCCATACAAACCCCAGAATGCAGGTTTTTCCACCAAAACCTGGTTATAATTTAGTGGCTGATCTGTGTAAATAAGTGTATGTGCCAGTGAAACTCAAACATTTTTGTCTTGACTATAGGGTGCAGAACTTCAGACAAAACCAGATGGTAAGATGACGCAGCCTGTTAATATGGTGCACTTGCTCACGGTAAGACAAACTCATAACAGTTTAACTGTGTTCAAACTTGTTGGTCTGAACAAGAACTTTGTCTGACCCAGCTGTCTGTTTTTCTTCTTCTTTGGTCAATACAGAAATACCCTATTGTGTGGCAAGGCCTTCTGGCACTGAAGAATGACATGGCTGCAGTCCAGTTGCATTTTGTCTGTGGAAACAAAGCTCTGGCTCACAGGTTGCTGCCTCTACAGGAAGGAGGTGCTCTACTTCGGATTGTCCAGAGAATGAGACTAGAAGCTTCACAGCTGGAGAACGTAGCCAGAAAAATGACTGTATGTCTTTTGATGTGGTCTACAAAGTTGTTGTTTTTTTCTGTTCAATTAGATTCAGTCTGAGAATAAATGCTTTTTTCTTCTTCAGGGGGACAGTGATTATTGTCTTCTCCTTGCTTTGCCTTGTGGACGAGATCAAGATGATGTTATAAACCAAACTCAAGCTCTGAAGGCTGCATTTATCAGCTACTTGCAGAAAAAGTTGGCAGCTGGTATCATAAATATCTCAAATCCAGGTTCCAATCAGGTGAGATATGACCCCTTTGTTAAAAAAAATAATAGTTTGGATTGATTAAAAACATGTATTTCTTTGGCTAAGTTTTGTTTATGGGGAAGTCGGAGCATGCCAATATTTTGGCCAAGCAGAATTATGTACTTCCTGTGACAAAAGGATTCACTAAGGTGGTATAATTTATAGGCAGTACAACACACAAATAAACTAAAAACATAGCACCATTTAAGCTAACTATGTACATAGATAACAATATATTTGCAAACTTGTACCCAGAAAAGTTTAAAATACAATAAAGCATAACCTGATGTCCTAAAATCAACAAAAAAAAGGCATGTAAAAAATGTCCTTTTTAAAAACTAAAGAAAACCCCACTCCAATATATAGGTTCTGGTCATAAAATTGGAATATCAAGAAAAAGTTTATTTATTTCAGTAAGTACAATAAAACTTGTATAATATGCATTCATTACACATAGACTGGTATATTTCAAATGTTTATTTCTTTTAATGTTGATGAATATAACTGACAACTAATGAAAACCATAAATTCAGTATCTCAGAAAATTTGAACATTACTTAAGACCAATAAAACAGGATTTTTAGAAATGTTGGCCAACTGAAAAGTATGAGCATGTACAGTATGAGCATGTACAGCACTCAATACTTATTTGAGACTCCTTTTGACTGGAAAACTGCAGCAATGCGGCGTGGCATGGAGTCGATCAGTCTGTGGCACTGCTCAGGTGTTATGAGAGCCCAGGTTGCTCTGATAGTGGCCTTCAGCTTTTCTGAACTGTTGGGTCTGGTGTATTGCATCTTCCTCTTCACAATACCCCATAGATTTTCTATGGGATTAAGGTCAGATGAGTTTGCTGATCAGTTAAGAACAGGGATACCAATGGTCCTTAAACCAGGTACTGGTAGCTTTGGCACTGTGTGCAGGTGTCAAGTCCTGTTGGAAAATGAAATCTGCATCTCCATAAAGTTGGTCAGCAGCAGGAAGTGCTCTAAAACTTCCTGATAGGTTGCTGCGTTGACCTTGGACCTCAGAAAACACAGTGGACCAACACCAGCAGATGACAGGTGGTTTACGCCGATCCGAAACCCGACCGGTGCTCATGTAAACGCTTGATCTGTTCGTTTTTATCTGATGGTGAAAAACTGACCTGACTGCGCATGTGCGACTTTGCCATTTCCGCCTGGCTAACGCTAATAATATTAGCATGTCAGGGAAGTAAAACTGGTCGGTGAGCGACACAACATTTCTACTAGAAACTTTGAAAGAGCTCAAAATGATTTCTATTACCTGTAGCTCAGTCAGGGAGTACAATAACGTCTCCACCATCATTAAAACCTGTCGCAGGTCCATTTTGGGTGCTCAGGTTTGTTTACGTTTACCCGGAAGTAGAACTTCTTCTTCGGTGGTTTTTTTAAGGAGAGTTTACCACTCTGCGCATGTCAGTACTGCTGTTCAGAACAAAGCCCGCTGCATGTAAACGCTCATCATGAACAGATTGTGCCCATGTAAACAACACATTTGAATTATTCAAACAGAACACATTTCAATCCGGTCAAAGAATTCTGCGCATGTAAACATAGCTATTGTATAATGTAATAGGTAAACATGGCTATAATGACTACAAAAATTCTATACAAAAACAACTGGACTTTATTTATTATACCTTATTGTTTTTGTCTTGAACATTTTTGAATTTACCATGTCCTGGATGACTGAGAATCTTCACCAGCTATTAATGACACAATCGGCTTGCCATAGTCCCTCCGCTTTCGTTCTGTTCGCTGCTGGGAACAAGTTAAACCAGCTGCACCGTCCGGGCGAAATGCAGCTAATTTGACAATTAAAGTGCATTTATTAAGTAAAAGTTCAGCTGAGACACACATTTACTATAATTTTTAGCAAACAAATAATTGTTTTTAGGTGTTTATCTTGTTAAATTTCAAAGAAATGCAGAGGCTCGTCCCTCTGCGCGTGCCCGCCGCTTCCGCGAATTGGCTTTTGCAATGTAGCTGATTTGACCGTCAAAGTGCATTTATTAAGCAAAAGGTAGACTGAGACACACCTTTCCTATAATTTTGAGCAAACATATAAATGTTTTTAAGTGTTAATCTTGTTAAATTCTTGTTAAAGTCCTCCTGTGCACGCTCCCGTGGCCTCCATTTGGCAGCCCATCGATTTTTGGCACAACACTGGCCCGCATTTCTGGGTTCGGCCCACATTTCCAGGTTGTTAGAGGTGACGCGTAACAAACGCGTCAGCGGTGACGCGTAATAGATTCGACGTATATGACGAAGACATTTATGGATTTTTCCACTTTTTTTAGACATATTTGGACTGATATGACTTATAGGGCGGTGCGACGGGTACGGTGGAAAATATGGTACACTGAAACAACTGAACATAAAAGTTCTAAAATAATTAAAAATAACTTAACACTTGTACATTTTGTGATTATGATGATTTTACGGTGTGACATACTTTGAATTTTAAGTTGGAAGACAAAAGTCGATCGGTGCATCTGGGCAGGAAAGAGGGAAACCCTTCACAAAGTCGATTCAGCAGGAGAAATGTGCGAGTGGCAGCGGAGGAGATCATGACAGGCTGCAGGAGGGAGCTTCCCCCTGCACTTGTGGGCTGCACACATGGTGCAAAATCATTTAAAAATAATCTATCTTAAATAAACAATCCATGTCATGTCCAGTCTTACTTTGAAAAACCGTGCGCGATATAGCGAGTCCGCGAAAAATTAACCGCAAAGTAGCGAGGGACTACTGTAGTAAAATAAATTAAAGTTGAAAGAATTTGTGAATTAAAAGTTCAAATGTTTTTTATTAGCTTGGTTTCTAAACAAACTGGGTGACTTTGAAAATCCTGTGTTGGATCAGTCTTTTAACAATAAGAGTAGTTTTATTTTACAAATGGAAAATCACCATTAAACTCCAGAGAACGTAATGCCTTTAAGAAATGAGCGCTCGGTTATTATAGTGATAACTGAACTTATTGCATCACTGATAAAAACTCTGCCGTTTTGCTTGAAGATGTGTGCAGCTGATGTTGTCTTTTGTTTTTCCAGCCCGCCTTTGTGCTTCAGATTTTCCCGCCCTGCGAGTTTTCAGAGAGTCACTTGTCGCTGCTCGCCCCCGACCTTTTGGACAGGATCTCCAGCATCTCACCACACCTCATGATTGTCATCACCACTGTGATGTAACGTCACCGCTGGGACCCCTCATCTGATGCTCCCACCCACCAGCCTCAGGAAAACAGAGGAATATATATTTTTTCCTGGATATAATTGGGAATGTATAGGATCTACCCTATGATTTTTTTTTTTTTTTTTTTTAACATCTGCCTTTTTTTCTTTCGTCGCTCCTGTCTGGTATATTTGTCCTTCTCCAATGAACTCAGGGATGGAACAAACCAGAATGAGTCTTACTTGACCATTTCTCTGCTGTATTTCTATTTATTGAAATTTTATTCTAATGTTTGGAGATGCTCTGAAGATTAAAGAACAAAAAAAATCAGGATGTTGAAACAAGAATTAGTGACATTTCTGGGTGGCCTGTTTTTTTTTTTTTTTTTTTTTTTTTTGTCAGTTTTTTAAATTGTCATTTTCATTTCTTTACAGGAGAATCAGAGATGCCATTGCACTTCAGTGGCTGAGAAGACATTTACATTTCAGCCGGTATTTTTAAATAATTGTGTACAGACTTCCTCAGTTGGGTTTTCTTTTAAAGAGGAAGAATCGACTTGTAAATCTACGGACGCCCTGTTGAGGACCACAGCTCCTTTATTTCCACCAACTCTGCTCATTTTCCGACACTACTGAAGCAGCCCGGCCTTTCTCATCCAACAAGCCTCAGTACGACAACGTGGGAGTTTGACTACAGGACTCTGTAAATATTTTAAATATTTAAAGCTCAGTGGAACTTAGACCGCTTGACAGAGACACATCTCTGGGACACGTCGGAACGCAGAGTGGCGGGAACGTTAGATGGATCCTTAATTTTTTGGGGGTGTAAATACTTGTAACACAAGAAGGTTGGCAGACTCGATGTGGAGTCTGCTGATGGCACTTCATATTTTGTAACAAATAAAACTACAGAAAACCTGAAGGTTTAATATGAGCCTTTATTTTTTTTTCTTAAAGTATGATTTACATCAAGTTTAAAACTGAAGGAATATGGAGGTTTAGTTTTCATGACAGGATTTACATAATAGGGTGAAGAGTTTTTAAAAGATACCAGTGGCCTTTTTTTTATTTTTTGCTGATTACAAATAAAAATATACAACTTTTAATTCACCAACCAGGGTTATGATTTAGTAGTACTTTAATGGTGCATAAACTATGTGAAGATATTTAAACAGCTGTTTGCCTTTGGTGCTTTACTACTGGGTTCCTATAAAACCATGAGTTTAGATAAAATATCTGTTGATCAATGATTTGAACTGAAGCACTCAGGAAGCCATAAATTGTGTTTAAGTCCGATTAAAATTTAAAATGAGGAAATCTAAACTCCCTTTTAAGCCTTGCCTCACCTCTTGGACAACACTACATAATAAAAACATCAAGGCGCAGAGCAATCCATTATACTCCAATAATAAACGTGTTTGAAACTAATTTCAAGTTTATAGTAATCTTGGAGGATTATTTGGGTTGCCAGATTAAACTACAGAAAACTGTTAAGTCTTGTTGCAAAGTGTGGAAAGTAACGGGCACCGATTTGAAATCTAGTGTTTCAAATCGTCACTGGAGCCGAACAGTGCCACCAGCTGCTCCTGGTACTGGGAGATGTTCCTCTTCATGATGTCCATGCAGGGTCCCAACAGGCGCTCGAACGCCTGGATGTCGATCACTGAAAAAACAAGAAAAAAAAAGTTCAAATTCTATATAACTACAGACACATGGGGCAACTTAATTCAAGAGAAAAACGTCTTAAAAACTTCTATTCAAATGTGTGTTTTAATCTGGAGGAGGACCCAGGTCAGCGATTTGTTTTTCTGTATCTGTCTCAGCGGTTACTCTCAGCAAACTGTTGCTCAGCTTGTGCACCAAACAAATAACAGTAAACAAGAGCCCCCCGCCACACACACACACGCATCAGAGTCAGGACGAGTGGATCTGCGCTCGACTTTGACCTTGATGGAACTAATCGATCCGTAGGCCCACAATGAGCTCACCATCAGATATAAGCGATGACATTTAGTTCATATTATGTGTACAGCACGTCACTGAGAGGCAGGAAAATAAACTGAGCATTAGGTTCAAGGTTCTTTATTGTCATTCGCATCACATGTGGTACATGAGGTGGAAGGAAATTGTGTACTCATGGTCCCAGTTACACCCAAAGATTGTAAAATATATAAAGTACAAAAAAGAAACAACATACAAGGATCTAAGGGTACCACTTTATAATAAGGCTCCCCTTATAGATGACTAATAAATAGTTTATAAGTGTTATTAATTCTTCTGTAAACACTATAAATAATTAATAACTGCTTATTATGCATTAATTAAGGGTGACAGTTTCTTGCCAAATCTGTTCACCTATATATTTCATCTAGAGCTGTTATATTAAACATTTCAGACTAAGTTACTATCTTGTAAGAACAATAAGCATTTGTAAAACTATTTCTTTAGTCTATAATATTGTACTATATCACTGCATTATAAGTATCTACAACTAATAAACTAAAAAATAGATTTATAAATGCTTATTGTGCTTACAAGGTAGTAACTTAGTCTGAAATGTTTAATATAACCGCTCCAGATGAAATATATAAATGAACAGATTTGGCAAGAAACTGGTCAGTTTTGTCTCTGTCACCATTAATTAATGCATAATAAGCAGTTATTAATGATTCATAAAGTGTTGTTATAGAAGAACTGATGACATATGTCTACAAACTATTTATTAGCCATCTATAAGGCGAGCCTTATTATGAAATGGTACAGATCTAAGATATACACTAAACACTAATGATGTAAAATAATACGATGTATTAAACAGCAGCCCGAACATGAGTCGGTTGTGAGCAGATGGGTATGAATAAAGCAGTTTAGAGGCAAGAAATCAGCAGCATGGATAATCAGCAGCACAGATAAGTTGAATATTACAAATTAAAGTGACATTACAGTGATTTTTTCTTGAGTTGAGGCAAACCAAAAGTAACAAAAACTTGCTTTATTTTTACCCGAGTGCCTGAAATATGCGATACTAAAATCAGAAGAGAAAAACCTGGTGAAAGATATTAGAGCTAATGAGTTTTATTAGCAGCGATGAGTAAAGAGAGCCTCAATTAGAAGAAATTAGTTTACCACTTTCTGAAAGACTGAGCAAATCATGGACTAACACTTCTCCAAAATGTCTAAAATGATGAATTTGTAGTTTTTACAAAAGCGAAAATTAAAAGGAAGCAGAGGAGGCCATCCTGCAGCACTAAAAACAGCTGTAATGCTGCAACAAATTAACTAGAAGCACACATTTATCCTCTTTAATAAATATTCTATTATTTCATTTTTGTTCGTCACCCTTCAAATTGTGACACGTTTATTCGTAACAAAGCAGAAGTTATAAAATGCTAATTATGATCGTATATTTGATGGTGGGAAATTTGCTTAGGAGCTTAAATGTGTTTAAAACTTAAGTTAAAAAATGTTGCGGAAACATAAGAGTTTCTGAGTTTCTCAAGTTAGTCTGAATTAAAATGAGAGGTTTTTGATTTACGATCCTACTTGTTTTAGTTTTACAGTTCAACAGCCTGCATCTGTTAAAATATAGATTAATACACATATGTTAAAACTTTATCACCCACCACCAAAAGGCAAAAACAAAACGATGTTTTCTCCATATTTTTCAGTCTTTTGGAAAATATTTCACGAACCACTGGACAAATCTTAATGAAACTCGTAGAAAGTAATGGCTAGATGTGCATCTTCTTCAACTGATTAATTTTTGGAGTCCACCAGATACAATATGGCCGCCCCATCCAGCTGAACGTAGAAAACACAAATATCTTGGTCATCTTTTAAGACAGTGATTAAATTTAGCTGAGAGTCATTCACAACATGAGGTTTCGAGCGACAGCAGCCACTCAGAGACGTCTTCCTTATTTCAGCCACGTGTTACGGCACAAAGAAGCTCTAAACTTTTTCCTCTCAGATTGTGTGTTCTTTAAAAATGGGGTGAAAAACAATTCCCAATTTCTATTTTTACAAACTTTCTTATCTTTGATTTTTTTAAATTATTATTATGGGGTTTAAATAACATCTCTGAATTTTGGTTTATTTGCCACAAAGCATTTCCTCTCTCAGCGACAGAGCAGAAAACCCAACGTCAGTGTGTTACAACAACAATGGCAGGTCTCCAACTTACCTAAACATTTGGTGTTCCCCACGGCGTATACCGAGGCTGCACGAGGTTTGTTTGTGACGAGGGCGAGCTCTCCGAAGTATTGCCCTCTGGAGCACCGAGCCACTTCCACCTCTGCGTTTTCCTGCTGGCCTGCCTTCGTCTGCAGCACGCACACACACACACACACACATATACACACACACAGAGGTGACTGTCACTCTGCACATCTGTCTGAGCATTAAAAAACAGACATTAAAGTGAAGGATTCACAAGATTTACTTTGGTTCTGATCATTATCTTCACCTCTCCTGATTCCACAATGTAGAAGCAGTGGGCCTTCTCACCCTGCAGCCGCAGAAATTCTTATTAATTCTCAGAAAAAAAAACAAAAAACAAAAAAAAAAAAGCAGCAAATCTAAAACTGTACCTGTGTTATTATCCGCTCCCCATCACTATAAGCTCGAGCTCCCAGAACATCCACGATCTTCATCCTCTCAGAGAGCTGAAGTGAAGCAGGACACTTGAAACACACACCTGCGCACAGATCTTTGATTTCAGCGTTTTGTTAAAAATCACAAACCTCCAGACACTTCAGGAGCGGGACACACTCTATAAAGGCCTCGTACATCCTCCTCTTCTTTGCATTGTTTTTCACAATCAGTCTGTGGAACGTGGCTCGATCCTGGCGGGGGGGAAAAAACACCAGAAAACGCTTCAGTTTTTGGTTTTTCTCAGTTTGTTGGAGGCTGCAGACGTCATGCCAGACTCACCAAACCCCACAGGGCGCCCTCTTCTGTGGCAACGATGGTGGCAGCCCGAGGCGTGTTGTACATGAGAGCCAGTTCCCCAAAACTCCCCTTGTTGTTGTACTTCCCGACACACACGTGCACGCCATCCTTCTCCACGAAAATATCGTACACGCCTCTGAAACATCCACGTCACGGCATTCGTTGCTTAAAAGTCTCAATTATCTGGTTTGAAAACGTCAAAGAAAGCAAAATGAAGTTGTTTCCTCACCGCTCTATGACGTAGAAATTATCCCCGTCGTCTCCTTGATCTATGATGTGATCCTGAGGTTTGACCAGAACCTCGAACATGGCGTCCAGAACCTCAGAGAACTGTTCCTGGAGGACGTACGTCAAGAAATCACATTACTGTTTTTCTCCAAAGCACTTTGTAAAATGATTATTTTACATATTGTAGATAAGACCTAAACAATGTCTTAGAACGGACATCGGTTGTTGTCATTTGTCACTACAAGATGTTTTGGCCCAGACGCAGCAAATCAGGGCCCAAAACCATAATACTGCCACCACCGTGTGAGAGAAGAAACAAGGCCATTCATCTTGTTTACATTTCTCCAAAATTTCTGAACAATATTTTGGCCCGTCCATGCAATCTGCAGCGAGGCAGTGATGTTTATTGTGAACAGATGTGCTTTCCTTCTTGTTGACCATGCCACAGTGTTGTATAAAGTACATCAAAGTAATACTTCAGTGAAAGTACAAGTATCTTACCATAAAATTACTTTGGTAAAAGTTTGGTAAAAATATCCAGTGATAAAAACTTGGAAAGTTTGAGCTGAACAATGAAAGATTATTCATTCAAAGCTGTTAGAAAGCTCACATTGTTGTGTTGGTGTTTACTGAGCTCGGTTCTGTTTGGTTATGGCTTGGTTCTTTCTGAATTTAATATTTCCTATGCTCTTGAATGCACCATGGCTGTTCCAACGCTAGTGAATGCATCACTCTGTGTAAAGCGCAGACCTCAGTTGGATTTTTTTTTTTTTCTCTCCTGACACGGACGGAGCCTTGTTGTTCAAGCTTGTTTGTGCTTTACTGGTTTACTGCTGTGTGTAAATACCAGAAGGAACACAACAAATAAATCCCCCTAAACTGGATATCTGTCTCTGTGTTCATTAATGGGACAACTAGTGGCCCGACAACTTCACTTTGCTGCTCTAAAGGAGTTAATGTCCTGGAGAACACCAATCCTCCTTTTTAGCAGCTACCATCATTTTCACACCTATCATGAATTTACAGTGGCTACACTGAGTCAACAAAGACTGATTGAGATCTGCATATGCATCCAGCTTGTTCACAGCGGGAGCTGCAGTTTTCACACAAGCGGCGGTGGAGGGGCTGGGTTTGTGAGTGAGAGAAGGGGCCGCGTGAAGTCGCAGACTGGGAGAACAAACAGGCATTGCCCAATCAGATTTCTTCTAATTTTATATTGTAGGAACGAGTAACTAAGATGGTTAAGGGAAATGTGTTGGAGTAAAAGTACACATTTTATTGAGGAAATGTAGTGGAGAAAAAGTGAAAGTCGCTAGAAATGTAAATAACGAAGTAAAGATATGTCAAAATTCCATTTAAGTACAGTAACAAAGTATTTCTACTTTGTTACATTACAACTCTGCACAGCCACACGATCGTTCCCCAGATGGTTCTTTGTCGCCTTACTAACCCAAACATGGTTCCAGTTTCTCAGCTTAAAAACAAACGGAACGAGCTGCAGCCGTCACCACCGCCTCCCATTATAGCTCATTTCAGCAGTCGTACCTTCTCCAGAGTTTTAAAGAGCAGAATGTCTCTGCACGCTTCCTGAAGCCGTTGGCGCTGCTCGTCTGTTTTGGGATGAACAACCTGAGGCTCTGTGCTGTCGTCCACATCGTCGTCGGGGTTATACGCCTCCGCACAAACTGCAGCACGACAAATACAGTTCAGATGTACACATGCATATGTCTGTACACGTTCATCTATGCTTAGATGTACTTGTACATATATGGTGAATCATGAATGTAGTACTCCCTACGACCTTGTGCATGTATTGTCTTTTTCCAAAATTGTGTATAATGCTTCTTTTTCAATTATTTCATGTGTTTTTTTTTTCCTGTATAGTTAGAAAATGCTACTGGATGCCTCAAATTTCCCACTGGGATCAATAAAATATCCATCATAACTTCATACATTCATAAAGCAGATGGGTAGCACCACATAATACAGCTCAGTCTGTACCAGGTGCTTACAGGGTACGTATGCAGGCTGTAGGTACAAAGTACATAGACATGCAAGTGTTAAATACAACCCTTTTTTGGTACCATAAAGTGCAAACTACGTAGTCTGTAAATAATCCAAGTACCAGTTATGTTGCTTACCAGTACTTGTACTGTAGCTTTACCCCATGTACCCTGTAAGTACCAAATATATGTTCCTTTTTAATACCCTGTAAATACCAGGTAGCAATCCTGGAAGTACACTTTAAGTATCCAGTATCTAGTTTGTAAGTGTTATATATGGACCTATGGAAATATTAGGTATGTAGTCATGCAAGTATCAGACACTTTTTCTTTTAGTATCCCATAAATACCAGGTAGAAATCCTGGAAGTATAACAAAGATTGAAAAAATTAAAGGGGTCTGAAAACTTTCCGTACACACTGTATGTAAATATCATGTGGTCATGTATCGAATACTTTATTACCCTGTAAATACAAGATATGCAGCATATAAGTACCCTGTCAGTAACAAGTATGTAGCCTGTACCAGGTATGCGACCATGTAAATACCAGGTACATATACAAGTAATTGATATGTGTTGTTTTAGTACCCTGTAAGTATCTGGTACATACTGGGCTGTGTTACTTCCAGCACCTTGTTTCAGTTACTGACCTGCAACTCTGCGATTAGGTCTTTTTCTCGTAACCTCTGAGAAGCAAAAGAGGTCAAAGGTCAACACATTATAGTATTTTAGAATTTAAGAGATGTGTTATTCCCAGAGTTGCAGCTCATCTGGGGTACATGAGCTTGTAGTACTCACTGGGAGTCTCCCTCTCCTCCTCCTCTTCATCGTTTTCACTGGACTTGTTTGGCGCAGTTTCAGGAGGGACCTCGCTCCCTGCAGGGTTGGTGTTGAGATTCTCGGACTGCTGCTCGTTCTTCTGGTTCTCCAGGACGCGGGTGAAATGCTGCACGGCAAACTCAGCCAAGTTAGGAGGCCTGTGACGAAGCACCTCCACCGTGTAGCCCTGCAGCAGCTCCTTCAGACCAGTGGGGATGTCAGCGCTACTCATCATTCAGACTCCGGGTTTAGTTTGAGAACTTCCAGGAGGATTTGAGAGAACACTGCAAAAACTAAAATGTTGCAGCATCAGCAGCACTGAGTGGTGCTCAGACGGGTCCGATCCATCAGGACTCTGATCGACTCTCCTCTCCATCTCTGCCCTGTATCGATCCCTTTATCTAGCACAGCCTGTCGGAAAGTATTGACCCAAACTGTTGGCATCGTGGGTAATTAAAGGCTGTCCAGTGGATTCAAGCTCAGAACTTGACAAAGAAATGACCCACGTAGAGCATTTTGATACGTTCATCCAGGAAGAACAAAACTTTTAAAATACAAAAATAAGTCAGCAATGAAGATCATTTTATACTGAGATTCCATTAAGAGCTTTGAAAGCTTTTTATGCAGCTACTGAGACAGTAAAGATGAAAAATGATTCATTTGGTTCGGATATGTTTCTCTACAGGTTTCTATCAAGCAGAGATTATTTCAATATGAAAGGAAATTTTAGTAAATAATAATAAAAAAAAACCCACAAAGCCATTTCCTGTTCTCCTTTAGAACATTTACATAGTTCTTTGAAAAACTTGGCTTAAATATGAATATGATGCATTATTTGTTATTCAGCTTTAATCTTTTTAAATAAATCTTCACACAAGATGTCTTCTGCTCAGACGAGTCACAGGGAGGTATATCGGCTCGTTGCATACATGTGAGTGAAAGTACCATAATACTAATTTAAAAATAAAAAAATCAGGAATACATTCCCTATTATCATTTTGTACGTCCCTAAAATTCTTCAGTGACAACTGGAAAGTTCAAAAAGGCAAAGAAGAAAAACTTTTTTTAAGTGCTCCACAGGTAATAAAACACAGAGAATTAAAAAAGAGATAAGAAATGTTGAAAATCTGACAGATGACAGCCGAAGGTGCATTTATACAATAAAGCAGAGAAAAGGCCGTTTGTTGAGTGATGGTGTCGATGCAGCGTCTTCTGAATTTGTTTGTTAAAGTCAATTAAATTCTTCAAGAAACTTTTCAGTTCAAAGTTCTTTTTTTTTAAACGATATCTATAGAAGCAAATCACCAGATTTAGATTTTTACAAGACATCAACATTAAAACACCAAAGTTTTCATGCAATAAATACTGCAACGTCGTTGAATTCAGCTCTTTCAAATTTCACTAACAAATTGTATTTGTTCTTTTGTCAATTTCTCTCCCTCCCCCACAAAAAAGTCTTAAACTAATTAATCGATTTTGACATTCTAAATTTATTTTCTGAAAGTTTCGTTTGTGCCGAGCCATCAATTCTGTATTAGATTGATCAGTATCTGCTAATCAAACACTTTGGTTAAATCCAAACAGTTAACAAAAATTAAGCCTGAATTTGTTTCATTCAAATTTTTTTACGTTACAATTTAACAGAATTATCTAATAAAAAAATTACTTTTTGACAAAAACATATTTTCTGACACACATAACAGTCATGCATGACACATCTTGGTAATTTAGTTTCAATATCTTTAAAATGCTAAATTTGGTGAGACTGTTTTACTTCCACAGGCAGGGAGTTGCTCTGTTGATGTGAGCTGAACTCACACGCAAATCACTCCTGGAGGTCCAGAGTCCAGTACAGTGAGGTAGGGTGGCGTAAACCTGGTAAAACCCAGGAGATCCAGGACAACACTCAGCCGACCATTTACATGTTAAATATAAGGGACGCCCCTCCTGAGGACAGTGATGCCCATATTTTTGGATGAAGACAGATGATGCGAGAGGTGAGGGTAAAGAGTAGTAAAAAACCCAGCATGGACTACAGGTGTCAGGTTTCAACTTTACACGACTTACGGTTCAGTTTTGGATCCAGTTCTGTTTTTCACATCTTCCTAAATGCGAGCAAAACATCTCACCTGAGCACCACAAAGACCCCAACAACCTCCAGGAGGGAAGATTGATTTGCACGCGAGTCCAGCTCTCACAACCCGAGTGACTCGCTGCAGTTTAGAGTTTGGAGCTTTTCAGTTTGATGAGTAAAGAAGTGAAATGTCTTCAGAACACAGGAAGTCACCTTAAAAGATAAAAACTCTTCCGGGTGAGAAAGTGGAGCTGAATAATTTCTCCAACCTGCTGAAGAAGGTGAAGTCCTAAACTAACTTATGAATTCTTACTGCGTCACTTCAACATCTAACAGAAGAAACCAAGAGGAATGCTTTAAATAAAACTGGATCCTTTAAACAAACCCTGGTTGAAATGTCTTAAAAATAAATGTTAAAATGGACTTTTATTTAAAGTTTTTGTTAATTAGGAAGCCAAAAGTTTTTCAGAGGAGCTACAAACTTCTTGTGTTTATTTAATATAAGCAGTAATTATCTCATTAAATTAACCCTGATTTGGATTGAAAAAAAAAATGGTAAATTAAAACTAAAATTTGAGATTTTAGACATATTTTTTGTTTCAAAACATTATTTTTTAACCTCTACATGTCCTTGATTGTGCACAACACACAAATCAGTCAACCAAATTATAAATTAAAGACACGTTTTAATTTAATACAAATTGTTTTAGTGCATTGTCTCATTTGTGCAGAGTAATTTTACTTTTAGTAGATCTACTTAAGAAAAAACTTTTAAAATATCATTAAATTCATTATTTAAGCTTAAAAAAAAAAAAGTTATCCGTGCAGCGCACAGGTGATTACAGCAAATTTCTCAACTATTTTTTAGCTGAGAGACTAAATCATCCCCAGGGCTACTGAAGCTGACAGATTTAAAAACATCAAGAAGAGAAAAGAAAAAAAAAAACCTTGTCCCGTTTTGTCCTTTTCATAGAGTAAAAAACATCTGACGCACGGCTAAAGCTGTTCTCATCGAAAGCAAATTGAGAAACAAAAAACTGCAACACAATTTCTAAAGATGGATCTATTTTTTTATCACTTCTGTACATGATGACATTCAGTTAACGATCAAACCGCTTTCGTTATTTCACGTTACACAGACGAGGTGGAAACATGGAGGACGAAGGCGCATCGCTGAGAAAACATGTTACACAACTAAACGCACCTTTTCCTGACACGCACGCCTAATCGCAGTTAGGTAAGGCACGACATGTTCACTTCACTCCTTTTCTAAAAAAAAAAGAAAACAAACAAAAAAAAGATTAAAATAAAATGACGGAGTGAGAACAATCAGGCTGTCTTTGTGTGAAGTGGCATCGTTACAGAATCGTCTCAGCAGATCCGACTGATCCACGTCACCCCAGACAAATAATCAAGTACGTTGTTGGAAGAACTGCTAAAACTCTTCGTGTCATGTGATCCTGTGCGTGTGAACTCCGGGAGATTCCCCAACACGAGGCACGTCTGAGGTTTCGTCACAGATTCGGAGCCAACCAGTTCAGAAACTTCATGGCCATCTCGAATCCTAAGAAACAAGCCTGGAAACAAACCAAATAAAGTTTTTTTTTTTTAAAGACAGATAAAACTTTCAACATCAGCAGACACTGATTTTGTTCATTACTCTTTAAAGTAAACAATATAAATAAATAGTCACAGTAAACTGAACCGAATTAGATCAAATTTAACAAAATTAGATTTTTATTTAATTGAAGTGCATTTAAACTGGAATTAAATTCAACCATTTGTGTTTTATCTATAAACTGAAACAAATTAAATCTTATTTTTTAAACAATTCTTCATTATTTATTCATTCTGCCCTCTGCTGGTTAGTTTTCCCTTTGTCAGCTGCAGATGACAGATATTTACCGTTTTAGGTTAATTAAAATAAAATTACGTTACCTAAATCAATGTTCTCCCTCATAGATAACAGATTAATTAATCATCAATCAGCAGAGTTTAATAGATAAACATTAACCATGATAATATAGATTTAAAGTGTAAACAGCAGCTTTCTGAGGCACATCTTTCACGGTACAGTAGGATTTAAAATGTTTAATTAACTAAAAAGCATATAAAAATCAGGAAAAATACAAAATGAAATATGACTAAAATATAAATAATATAAATTTTAACAATTTGACAGAAACTTGTAAAATGATAAATGACCAAATTTAGATGTTCCAAAGAAACTGGGAACAGGAAAACGGTGCCCCATGGTTTTTATGCATTAAATAAATAAATAATAATATCAACAACTATAACAATAAAAATATTTTCTGATTTAGTGCAAAATAGGGAACGAATAGCTCAAAGTTGTTACATTTTTATATCTTGTATGATTCCTTGTGCACGTGTATTAAAACCCTGGCACAACAATTTCCTTTGGGATCAATAAAGTTCTTATCTTAAATTATCTCATCTTAAAATCCACGGTTCAGTTTTGGTTTCAGGACCAGTTTTCGGTTTTTTTATTTGTAGATCATGGACATGGAAGAGATGAAGAAGTCTGGTGTTTGGCTCGTCTTCGTGACAGCCTTCAGTTAAAGCTGGGGGGATTTTTGTGCAATAAATTACGACATAATTAATTAATTATTATGATTTAAACTAAAATGCTTCCCATTTATTTGGATAGAAAATGATTTAAAAACAGGATCAAAACTTAAAAAAAAAAAAAAAGGTTTTCTGTCTCTTTTTCAGCCTTTTGGAAAAGTTCAGCACGCACGGTCTGAACGGCTGAAACTCAGAAAATATTTATCAACTTTCTTCACTTTTTTACAAAAAACAGAAAACAAAGGAAAACGTCTCCCAAAGCTCTGACCCCTCGAGTATTTATACGAGAGCGACGCCTTTCCTGTGATAAAATAAAAGAGCTGATCAGATCGGTTCTGTCAGCAGTTCTGCAACTTTGGTTTGGTTAAACAGGTTTTCACAGAAATGTTCTGGTACCAAAGGGAAAAATGAGCTCTTGGTTCTCAAGTGTTATTCCCACAGTCTGTTTTGTCTTAGTGCAAAATTATTTAAACTATTCTCGACTTATTTTTAATGTTCATTTGCGACGCCTTGTCCACACGTGACAAATAAAGACACGCTTACGACTGAACCGTGGTTATCCGAGCGCGTCAGAGGCTCGAAGCGGAAGGACGAGTGACTCACTGCATTTGCAGGGAACGCTCTGAGCATGACGGCGTTGAAGCCTTTATACAGAGAGGTGACCCCCTCCTCCCGGATCAGCTCCCGCAGAACGTCTCGGAAACCGTTGGGGTACTTTCCTTCAGGAGCTGAAACAGAGAGATTTTAATAAAATATTTTAGTTGTCTCTAAAAAAAAAAAAAGAAAAAAAAAAAAGTTGCTGTTCTTTATTTTTCCAGAACAGCTCTGGATGTTCCTTTAACGTCACGGGACAAAACCGCTTCGTTAAATCTCCTGACTGATGGAGTTGAAAACCTGAAAAACTCTGTGGACAGCTGCATAAAACTTTAAATGTTGATATTTGGCGCTTATGTGTAAAACATAAGCTGAAGAAAACTATTAAAAATCATATCATGGTAATGTTTTTATGCAGACTCTCACATGTGGCTTTGAAGCCTCAACTGTTTTATCATCTCAGATAATCTGAACCTGGAAGGATGTTGATTTAATGAAAACTTCTCTTGGCGAACTAAACATCTCGTGTTGAATCCTGATGTTTGCTGTCAATCGTCACACACACTGTTGAGAAGATAAGTCTTCATCGCACTCATCTTCACCACAGTGTTCAAACGATAAGGGTGCTTGAGACTGAAGCTGTGCTTGCCTGTCGTCTGGTGTGTAATGGTCCTAAAATCATTTGCTGAGAACTGGAGCAACAGGAAAAAATGAACTGCACGGTGGTTCAGTTGTGGAAGAGCTGCCGCTTCTTAGCGAGCAGGTCGTTGGATCAAATACAAACCTGGGACCTTTCTGGGTGGAGTTTGCATGTTCTCTCCGTGCAAGTGTGGGTTTTCTACTGGTGCTCCGGTTTCCTCCCACAGAACAAAAACATGCATGTTAGGCTGATTGGTGACTCTAAATTGTCCCTAGGTGTGAGTGAATGCTTGTCTCTTTGTGTCCCTGTGATGGACTGGAGACATGTCCCCCGCTTCTCGCAGTAACTGCTGGATATGGGCACCAGTGACCCAAAAAGAACGAAGCGGGTAAAGATGGAGGATGGATGGAACAGGAAAAAGCAACTGAGTGACAACAATCACTATTTTTTATTTTTAGAAAGCTTCGATTTGATGGAGAGAAACTGAAAACGATATATACAGAACAGAAAGAAACCCTGAACTTCAGGTCCTCCGAGCAGCTGACCTCCGATTCCTGAAACTAAATCCAGCTGCAGCCGACTCACCATTTCACACAGTTGACGGAAAAAACACCAGAGGCACAAAAAACCCCAACAGAAACTGGTCCTAATCTCATAGAAAAGACGAGACAAATCTAAACGGAGCATTATTGTTCAGGCAAACCTGTTTGGAAGCGAGACTTGAGCACATCTGGTGGAATCGCGACAGCCCAGTTACAGATCCCGGCGATTCCTCCAGCCAACAGCACACTGGGAATACTGAGCTCGTTGTGGCTGCAGGAAGAAGACAACACGTCAGCTGCTCAGAGGAGGTTTTTTAATTTAAACTCCCAATCGCCAAAGGACAAAAGGACGTTATGGTTTTGTCATATTTTATTAGCAAAACATCTCAGGAACCACTGCACAAATGTTGTTAAAGCTTCCAGAAAGTAATGACTGGATGTGATGTACATCAACAACTCGTTAATTTGTGGAGTTGTTCCAAATCAAAATGGCTGCCACCATTAATCAGCCGCCGTCCTCTCTTATTAGATGAGTCATGTTTAAAACTCCGGCATGAAAAGCCGGAACGCCAGGTCTTTATTTTTATTCTACATAAACAAAAAAAAAAAAGAGTAAAAAGTCACTACTGACCTCTTTCCTGCTGGTGTGAGGACGTTCTTCAACCACTCATAAGACATGAAATACATCCCGCTGGCTGGAACATCTGGAACAAAAGGAAAAAGATCCAATAAGCATCAACAATAAACATATGTTTTTTAAAATAAATTGTTAGTATTTATGTTAATGTGTGTGAGTTTTACCACAAGCTACTGAAAAACAACAGCTAGACAACTATGTCTAAAAAAAGTTAAGTCTGGTCCTCTGGACATTCAAAAAACAAAACAAAACAAAACAAAAATTTCTAGCTGGATTAGTGAGCATGCATCAGGATACTAGACAACAATGGTTTTACATGTGTCTGTTAGCAAAATATCTGATGAAACTGAACACATTTGTGTGAAACTATCTGAAAAGATAATCAGTGGATATAAATCTACAACCGATCAACTTCAGGAGTCATCTCAAGTCAAGATGGCTACCACAGCTAATGGACGGTTAACACCAAAGCTGGTTTTCAACTCAGCTAACTTTATAGCTATTCGTTTAAACTTAAGGTCGTGCAACGTAAAACCGACCGAGTCAACCCCGTTTGTTAGGAAAATGTGCAAAATGTTAGTAAAATATTCGTAGTTTAAAACTCGTGCATGGAAGGTGGTGAGCTTTTTGAAATCTTTGGGATAAGAGTTGCTCTAAAACTCTAAAGTAACTCAACAATCAGAACAATAGTTGATCATCCAGGTGGAAGTCTACCGTCTTTTAAACCTCACATAAAGATAAGCGATGCAAAGGTCGGCAGTAAAGTGCACTTTGTGGGTCGTTCCGCCTCCAGTTATACGACCCACGTCTGCAGCCCTGACTGCAGCAGTACATGAGTTTTTTAGTTTTGTATTTGACTGACTGCGGCCATGACAGCAGAACAGATGGACACAAACAGGAATAACATCCAACAGAATAACTGGGGTCATCAGGGGCGGCTGTGGCTGAGTGGTTAGAGCAGTCATCCTCCAGTGGGAGAGCTGGGGGTTCGATTCCATCAGCAATCGTGTGTTGACGTGTCCCTGGGCAAGACGATGAACCCCTCATTGCCTCCAATGTGTGTCCCATTCGTGTAGAAATGTGATAAAGCACTGATTATTCTCCACAGATTCAGATTAGCTTTGTAGAGATCTAGTAGAGTGTTGTATGAAAGGGTTCATGAGGACACACATTGTAGTGTAAAGTGCTTTGAGTAACTTGATAAGACAGAAAGGCGCTATACAAGTACAGTCCATTTACCATGAGCGCTGATGTTAGAACCGTAAGTGTTTATACGTCTCATTATTATGGAAGCGCATTTCTGCCATGAAAGAAAAAAATAAAAGCCCAACAGGAAGTCATAATATCAACTTTTAAAGTCATAATTACGAGAAGAAAAGTCATAATTATGAGTTTTAAAGTCATAATTATGAGTTTTAAAGTCATAATTATGACTTTTATTCTCGTAATTATGACTTTAAAACCCAATTATGACTTCCTGTTGGGCTTTTATTTCATAGAGGAAATGGGCTTCGATACTAAATACTATATAAAGTGGTGATGAAAAGATACATACATTACATACCTTTATTTAAAAGGATTGATGTATGAAGGCAGAGGGACATACATTGAATGAATTAATCCATGTGCTATATGCCACAGATATCATATAAACACTTTTATATGCTTTTATATGACATCTATGTGCTATGCAGGAAAACTACCCGTGTCTGACAGGATGTTGCATCCCTGTAGAGTCATGGTGTCCGGCAAGGGACAAACTTAAAAATTAAATTAGAAAAGTCAAAATTATTACTTTAAACTCGTAATTATGACTTTTATTCTCATGATTATGATTTAAAAACTCAAAATTATGACTTTTATTCTCGTAATTATGACTTTAAAACTCGAAATTATGACTTCCTGTTGGGCTTTTATTTTTTCTTTCATGACGGAAATGGGCTTCCATACATTATGGAAGCGGGAGTCTCATAAATTATATTGAAGACGTAGTGAGATAAGGACATCAGTTTGGGTAAGACCTGAAAAATGACGTCGCTGAAAACAAGATTCTAGATTCACAAAAACTGACTGTGTTTTGTGAATATAAGAAGTTAAAATAAATAAAGACTAACTATATTAAAGCTGATCTAAAAAGACAAAAGAAAATATCTACTGAACAGTAAAAAAAACAATTCAGAACCAAAACAGCAGCAGGATCTTATGAAGCCTGATATGTTCTACCTTCCCTCGAGTCAAATCTAAGTTTTGTCTACTCAATCTTAGATCGCATTTTAAATACCGTCTGCCTTACAGTGATGGGCATTAATGTTTTTGTCTGTGTGTCCGCTTGTTAACAAAAGCATGACTCAAGATGGCTGCCATGCCTAATCATCATTAACAAACACACAATTAACTTTAACTCAGTCAGTTTTACAGATATTGAGCTAAAATTTGGTGTGGTAGTAGCTGAGAGTCATTCCAAACATATAATTAGCATAAAAGATGAGATGAGCCTCTTCTACCGCAGAGATCGAGCTGTGCTCAAAGACATCCTGCTGCGTTACTGGATCCCGATTTTCAGCTCAACATGGCGGACTAAACAAGGAAATGACATCGTAGTACAAACTCCAGGTTTACTTCTTTGTTCATTGTTGAAGAGAGCGGGTTTAGCCTGTGTTTGCAGATAAGCAAAGATACGTTTTAGGACCACACCCACAGATGCTGACACTCCCAAGGGTGATGTCTGCAGCCACGCCAAAACTCCCCAGAAAAACTTGTTTTCTGGACTTAATAAATGTCCAGCTCAAAAGAATCAGGTCGGCGAATAAATAAATAAAATGAACCACTATCAGATTAAATGTGTACCTCTCATGAGAGTGAGCGCTGTGCCTTTGTAGACCCCTCTGATTCCAGTTTGTCTATACAGCTGTTTGACGCAGTCCATGGGGCCTGCATACTTCACCTCTCCTGTTGATGCCTGAATCTAAAACACACAAATTAAACACCTCAAACATTTTTTTCAAATGAAACCCCCTTAACACAAGTTTGATTTATGAACTATTATATATTTGTGATGACATCTTGCTCATGTACACACATTCAATAACCTCTGACCTGTAGGAGACATTTGATGCGCTCTCCTGGAGCCATGATGGCTGTGGTGAAAACACCCGACAACATCCCTGCAGCAAACAGCTGTGGATACCTGCGGGAAACCAGGAGACGCTGACGCAAAGACAAACCTTCACCCCCCCCCCAAAGCGTCCGAGACAACAGAACAACAGGACCACTTGTAACAAATCAATCACCTACGTAAGGACATCATCAGGAGATTTCTGCTGGAGCTTCTTGCCCAGTCCGAATCCAAAGAAACAAACAGCAAACATGGGCGTGACTCCGATTATTGGAGCTGCCATTCCCTTGTAGAGTCCTTTCACACCCTGAGACAGCACGAGAGACAAATCATCAGTATTTATATATATAAAAAAGGTATTTAAGTAAGAAACAGATCATTTGCATGCTTACCTCTTTGGCTAAAGTCTTTTTAAAACAATCAATGGTTCCAGCATACAAGAGTCTCTCTCCAGGTTTGGGTTTGGGTTGAGTCTGTAAACGCACCTGAGAAGAAAGAATAATCAGCAGGTTTCATTTTAAGCACAAATGAGCCCCAAAAGTTGTTTTTTTTTATGTAAAACTGCAATGCTGAGTACAATTTATGTCTGCTATTGATAATAAACCTTGAAATGTTTAATTCTTTAGTTCAAATCTCAAGTTTGTGCAGGACTGTAAACCAGGCGTCATTAACACCATCGCGCTGGCTCAGATTTGGTCATATCAAAATCCCCTCGCTGATTACGTGTTTCCATCAAACCGTTTTTCACCAAAATTTGTTGTAAGTGTTCTTTTCTAAAATCAGAGATAAACTGATAAACTTTGCTCAGCGTTAAGAACTAAATCGCAATGATCTAAAATTTCTACTACTTTCATCTTCTGGAAAACAAAGTTTTTACAATCTTTGGTATTTTAAAAGAAAAAACAAACAAATAAATCAAACCCTTTAATGTTCGACTCCTTAAACAACAAAAACTTAATCCAGAAAATGATTTTGAGAAGAAATATAAGCGGATAAAAAGATTCAATGCATATAAAATTAGCAGTATGCTTCATGTTTTTACCTAAATGAAAATGATTGTCAACTGGTTCAAGAACAAAAAAAAAAAGGCAACCGGCAAGTGATTATAAAAACTTGTAGCATCTAAAATACAGATATGTCTATTTGAACAGAAACAACTTGAAATATTAACTAATCTACCGAGTAAATGTGTATATTATTTCTCTTTTAGCTATTTATTGCAGTTATAACCCTGAGGTGTGCGTTAATTAAATACAGGCTTACAAGCTCTAATTGAAGAAACTTGAGTCCCCTAACATACAGCATTCATATTTCTAAGAACTTATTTCGTAATATTTGTTCTCAAACACCAGCACATGGTCAGCTAGCTGATACTGGTTGATCCATTAACCTGGTGGACGTCTCAGTCTAGTTGTCTTATCTCTGTGGTTGTGCAGCGGAGGGGCCTTCAGATGAGGTACCTGAGCAGCAGGGATGACTCATGCGAATGAATGTGGGTCAAAAGTCTACAAGCAGTTTATGTATGAGTCGACACTTTGCAGTGACAAAACACTAATGCACAAAAAACAAGGACTATTAGGACATTTTGATGTCCCTGATTCCTTCAACCATTGCTTCAAAACAGACTGACTTTCTTATAATTGTTTAAAGAGATTTCAACCAGCAGTTCTTCAGGCTTTCTGGGGCTTTTGGAGTTTGTTTCTTCATTAATTTTCTGTGCAGTCCATGTGTCAAACTGCTATTTTCGTTTTTAGATCCAGTAAAACAAATGGACCAACATTGTGTCTTCGTGACACAATTGCTGGTAACAGTTTTATGATCCCTAAAGATCTAGGGGTAAACATTAAGAAGTAGCTGAGCCAGTGTTTAAAAAAATAGATTAGCAGCTAGTCTGAATTAAAATAAAAAAAAACCTTAATAATAATTGACTTATTACAAGAAACTCTGGCCTCTCGGAAAGAAAACAAAGAAATGAGAGATGATTCAAGACTTGGGAGCATATTTTCTGCTTCCTCGTTGTCTGGTGCAGCCGGAGGCAGTTTGTTGATTGTCTCCTTGTTTTAAGCTGCGATGAATCCAGACAAGCAGAAATTATTACTTTGATGGTGTCCAGCGGGTGTCCGGCGAAGACGAGACAAACCCCTCCGAAACCGCCAGCGAAGAAGTTCTTCAGCGGACTGATCGGCTGCTGCTGTTTGGCCATTTTTACTTTCCGTCCTGACGGAACAAGAAAAACACCGAAACTGGACCTCAGTGACAGGAGACGCACAGACACTCGACAATAAACTCAAAATAATTTATTACACCTTACCTTTTCCGTGTTTCCCGCAGAAAAGTGCGTTTGTGACCTGCTGCTGTCACTGCAGTCTGCGGGACCTTTTACCTACTTTTATTTTACCCGGAACTGACTGACTGCAACACAACCCTTCTCCAGTGCGTCTCTGTTTAACGTCCGGGAGGAAACTTTTTTCTTTGAATGAATGAAAAGGCTGAGATAACTATTATAAAATGTTATTAAGTGGTCTATTAAATGATTTTTTTTTTTTTATCACAGAACAAGACGCAAAGTAAACGTTGAAAACAATAACTGTAAAACAAAACACCCAAACTATAAATCTAAAGATCATAATAAATGTCGACCCTGATGAGAGGAAAAAAACACCTTATATGGAGATGAAGTATTGTATAAAATTGAGATAAACGCACAAACAGAGAAGTATCCCGATGCATGCTCAATAACTTGTAGATAGTAAAAACAGATAAGTTAGACAAAAAGTATTGAAGGACTGAAAGGACACAATATCAGTCACATGTTTAGTATGAAACAATCTTGTCATTGTTCCATGTACGTACAATGAAATTAAGTTTGGCACCATGTCAACATATAGAAGTAAAGTAATAAAGTACAGTTAAAAAATAAATACATGAAAATAGAACAATAAGATACATAGGAGTAAAGCATAGACATTATGTATTAATGTCTATGAGAGTAACGTGTCTAGTCTTGAAATAGCAGCTGGAGTTATACGTGTGTCAACAAACTAGCTCTAATACAACAACCTAGCAGAGATCTTATTGTTCCATATTTTCCTAAAAGAGCACTTTACTCTCAGACTACAGGTTTACTTGTAGTTCCCAGTTTCCTAAAGTAGAATGGGAGACAAAGCTTTCAATTGTCAGGCTCCTCTCTTGTGGAAGCAACTTCCAGTTTCTGTCCGTGAGGCTGGCACATTGTCCAGCTTTAAGATTAGGCTTAAGACTTTCCTTTTTGATAAATCCTATAGTTAGGGTCAGCTTGGGTTTCCTGAACTATCCCTTAGTTATACTGCTATAAGCTTAGAATACTGGAGGACAAATTGACTGCATTTCCCCACTCTGCTGCTGTCTTTACTAGCTCTACCGGTTTGTATTTGTAATTACTTTTATCTTAACATGTTTTATTGTCTTCCCTCCAATAGAAAGTACACCTGGAACTGCCATTCTGTTTGTTTCTACTTGTCCTCTCAAACCTCAACCGGTCGAAGCAGATGGCCGCATGTCCTGAGCATGGTTCTGCGGAGGTTTCCTTCTGTTAAAAGGGAGTTTTTCCTTTCCACTGTTGCCTTCGTGCTTGCTCAGGATGGGAGACTGTGAAGAAGTGATGATTCAAGGCAATCTGCTCGCTTCCTTTACAAATTAGCTTTTTTATTTACCAGTATGTGAATTTTTAGAAATGTTGGCCAACTGAAAAGTATGAACATGAGAAGTATGAGCATGTATAGCACTCAATACTTAGATGGGGCTCCTTTTGACTGGATTACTGCAGCAATGTGGTGTGACATGGAGTCGATCAGTCTGTGGCACTGCTCAGGTGTTATGAGAGCCCAGGTTGCTCTGATAGTGGTCTTTAGCGCTTCTGAATTGTTGGGTCTGGCGTATCACATCTTCCTCTTCACAATACTCCATAGATTTTCTATGGGGTTAAGGTCAGGCGAGTCAGGGACTTCACTGAATGGTGTGAGTCTTCCTTTTTAAAGTCAAATGCTTCTAAGACAAAGGAGATGGTCATTGGTTTTTAGAAAAGACTCTTCAGTTGTCACTCTTGTGGCCATTAACGATGAGGCTGTCGAGGTGGTGCAACAATATATCTGGGAACCGTTCTTGATGAAAAACTGACCTTCAATGTACATGTAGACTCACTTTGTAACAAGGCCTACCAGAGAATGTATTTTTTATCAGAAACTGTGGTTTTGATGTTGATTCTACTTTTATAAGTTAACTTTCTTCATCTGATGGTTTGGACTTTTGACATGCAAAAACAGAACAAACTCTGGGATTGTCAGGATGTGCAGCAAAACTGCTGGTATAGTCCTACAGAACCTAATTGACATACACAAGGCGAGGTCAGTGAATAAGGCCAGGCTGATTCTGGCAGATCCTGATCACCCACTCCATAGTGAGTTCAGGTTGCTTCCATTTGGATGCAGGTTTCTGCTGCCCAGATGTAGGATCGACAGACTTAAAAACTTATTGATCCCTGTAGAGATCAGGCACCTCAAAGTACAATGTTTTCTGTACTGTTATTTTAATGTCTTAATGTTTTGTTTAGTGTTCCTACTGACTGTGAAACAAATCGCCCCTGGCTTAGGGGATAATAAAGATTCTTGACTTGAACATGAAACTTGATGAATAAAATACATTACATAGTTTGCAAGATTTTATTGAGATAAATACCTGGATGACCTAATTTTCTGTTTTTAAACTCAGACTAAACAGAAATTGTGGATTTGGACTTGAGCATTTTAGGAACAAACTTTGCGTCCCTTCACTTTGGAACTCCGAAATGACGACACAGGCACGGCTTTTTCATTACGGGTGGTTTATTGAATGCCATGAAAACTATAGAAATGAAACACAAAAGCTTTAGGTACTTTACAGAGTGACAAGTGAAACGTGCTTTATCAAAAAGTTATCTTGTGGCCGCCTGCCACTTAGGAGGTTCTAGGCAAATATATTTTGTCTTGTGCACTCTAAATTAACATAAAAAAATTAGAACACCATAACTGAGAAATTTATAAACGATTACAATAGTTACAAATACCTTTACAGCTAGCAAACTGACAAGGCTGCTGCAGATAACTCGGCTCCGGGTACTTGTTCCCAGCATACTCAGGTCTCACACCCCATTACGATCACACAAATCTTGCGATAACGGTACAACAAAAAAATAGTCCTTTGTGACAGAATAAATTGCATCTTATACAAAAGATAAAAACATTTTCAAAGCGTAAACCAAACAAAACCAAAATATTTAAACTATTGGAAACAAATACTAATTTTTCCAATGCATAAATCATTTTAGTGACACACTCACCAAAATCACCAATTGGTCCTCAATGGGATTTTCTAACGAGTGTCAAGATTAGTCTGTTTTACTGTGCGTGTCAGTCTCAAGTAAAGTCACTACCTTGTGAATAGGTTTTTCTAGATATATCAACCTTGTCAGTGGTTTTCCTTTGTCAAATGTAGTTTCACTGGTCTGTAGTTTCACCTATCGAACCATGCCGTCTGGGCTTTCTAGAGTCTCTACTACTAGAGCAAGTTTCCATCTTGGAGCATTATCATCTTGTAGGATCACAATGTCGTTCACTTGCAGGTTCTGTGAAACTTTCTGTCGCTGTTGGAAATTAGTATATTCTCGCCTCCATCTTTGCCAAAACTCATTTGCTTGAAATTGTACTCTTCTCCATCTTTTGTTCAAATACAGATCCTCTCTGCAAAACTGTCTTGAAGGGGGAAGAATAACTGAAGACATTGTTAATATGTGATTGGGAGTTAATGGCTCTGGATCCAAGGGATCATTAAGATACTCCACACTTAAGGGTCTGCTGTTAATGACGACCATTGTCTCGTAAAGGAGTGCTCTTAGACTAGTTGTATCAAGTCTGTTTGAGGACTTCTCTAACATTGCTGTTAGTATGCTTCGTGCTGTTTGAATGTGGTGTTCCCAGATTTCTCCCATGAGGCTGGTTGATGAAACGTTCATCATAAACTCACAACCAATAGCTCTTTGCAGGAAAGATGTGTGGGGGGAGGGGGGGGGGCAGCTGAGCTGTTCCTACCGGCAGTTTTCAAGTGTGAGGGAAGAGGCAAAGAGTGATGTCTTTAGCTTTTTAGCTAGCTGCTAGCTTAGCATTACGCCAGTACCGACAGGTAGGGAGGGGGCGCAGCTCGGTTCAGTAGGCAGCGTGCTTGGTTCTGTTAACAGGGCGGGGCGTCCCGCTTGTATAACGGTAGGGAAAACACTGACGCATTTACGCCATGAAATTAGCATATCATGATATGATTTATTTTTCGAGGTAAGTTTTTTTTTACCGGTATTATCGTGAATGATAGATGGCCCAGCCCTACTTGGCGGACATAGTTGGCAGTTGCAGATTGACTACTTTTATCCGTGTCAAGGTCTTGGGATACTTCATGCAAGATGAAGTATCACTCTGTGAATCAAGGAGTAGGTCAGAGCATCCCTGATGCATCCTTACATTTCTATGCTGATGACACAGTTGTTTATTGTCGAGCTAAAACGGTTGCTAAGGCTTTCCAGCTTTTGTAATCCGCTTTCGACATCAACCAGTCAGATTTGTTCTGTCTCAAACTTGTCCTAAACGCCAAAAAAAAACAAAGAGATTTTTTTTTTAAACAGGAAGTCGATCCCAGCAGTTTTTCCTCTGATTTTATCTTCTAATGGTGTCCCTACCGAGTTTGTCGATTCCTACAAATATCTCTTGCATCTCTCTTTTAAGTTCCATGTGGAAAACCTAGTAAGGAAACTGAAAATTAAATTGGGTTTCTTTTTCAGAAACAGACTAACTCTGAATGCTAGGAAACGCCTTATAACTGTGACTTCCCTTCCCTCCATTGATTACGGTGACATTATTTACATAAACGCTCCTACAAGCACCCTGCAGATGTTGGATGCTGTCTATCATGGTGCACTAAGATTCATAAATGGCTGTAAGTGCCATAGCCATCACTGCACCCAGTATTCACTGGTTAACTGGACATGATTACCAGTAAGTTCACACAGACTCTCTCACTGGTACATTTTCATCTTTAAATCACTTCTTGATCTATTGCCTTCATACATCTCCTCCTACATGTCTCTGTGTGAGTGCAGTTACAGCGTGCATGCTCAGGACATTATTACCTGCAGTGTTCCCTCAGGGAGGACTGAACTTGGCAAAAGGGCCTTCTCCTACTCCGCTCCTGTTTCATGGAATACCTTGCAAAAGATCTGAAGCTCTTGACTTTGCTCTCTCTAAGTGGCTTTAAACATCTGTAAAGTTCCTGGCAAGAACCAATACAGACATGTTCCTGTTTTTAGTTTTGTATGTATGCATGTATGTTTTATTTATTCATTT